ACCCCTCCCCATTCACCAAGATCATTCCTTGTGGCATTCGTGACCCGTCGCCAAGCTCGTCGATTCATCGTCGCCCAACACAGACATGCTCACTCACATCCACAAGAATTTTCTCCAGGCATTCTCGGACGTCTTCAACACAGAGCTAGTCCACCCGAGACAATAGCAATCTCTACACAAGCACTATATTATCATTCCATTGCCACAAAGTTACACTATTGTCAAGTTCCCGCGATTGAGCTAACTTAGTTCCAACATTTGGTCCAGTGTCAACCCCCAGGAGAAGTCCGAGACGCTTGTAAGACCCAACTCTAACTTTGCCATGGGCATTAGGACCCTGCCCACATTCTTCTCGTCCATTGATGATATTAGTGACTGTTCCATAACAACCAGTAGTTCTCCCGGCACTAATATCGATTTTGCTTGGCTTCAACACGCCGAGGATCACATCGTGGCATGCCTTGCGGGGTCATCCAGAACCAGAGAGCACGCCACCTTGGGATCTTTATCGACCATTTCTGGATTTTTTTATTCCATCAAAACCAAGAGCACGTCCACAGGCTTAGTTGAAGCTCCTGTAGATCGCAAGCATTAGATCACATGGGTTACAATATATTTCTATACCATGTAAGCAGCAATGGTCCTTGGGCATGGTGGGAGCGCAATGCCGATTCCTTGGATTACCGGCTTTTATCCTGTTCCACCAAGCAGACTGCAGCCCTCCCAGCAGCCCACCTGGATCACACACAAAGAAACTCAAGTAAAGGTGGCGGGCTATGAAAGTGAAAAGTTGGTCTCACCTGATCCGGCTGTTTGAACCGATTTTTGGGCAAATAGGGCGGTGATCTCCGTCTTGCGCTGTTCGGGGGAACGTGCACCCAAATGCCGGTGCAGGGAAGGCCTTGGCAGCGGCCATGAAGGATGCATGCGTGTAGAAGGAGGATCCATGCCAGCCTTCTTCTTGTCCAACATGGTGAGCGGCGGCGATTGGTGATTGTGATCACCTGGAGCTCCTCCTCCTCCTTTTCGTCCTTTTCCACTGCAATTGCAAAGAGCATGGAACTGACAATGGATCACTGAGCAGAATGAGCAGGTAGTTTTCTGCAACCAACGAACTTAGAACATGAAGAAGAGAGACGATCAAAACTAGAGAGATTTTTGGAAATGCCATTGTTGGTTTTCTTTTGCTAGTTGGGTTTTTTCAAGGGATCTTATGTGCGTCATCTGTGCGTGATCGATCAGCACTAGAGAAAAGAGGGGTTCTCTCCAGGAGAGACAGTAAGGTATGCTTTTCTTTGTGTCACATTGTGTGGAGACCACCACTAAGAAGTACCATGATCTGAAGGAGGTTTACTTTTGCATCTTTAGTATTAGCTTGCCAAAAGTTTATTTGCAGTGTGATCCAGCCCATAGATTGAAGGCTTTCTCCAGCTCGCATGCCTTGACTGGCCTCCTGTTGCTCATCTTGCCCAGGTGTCCTACTCAAAACTGTCCAATGATAAGCAATGGAATTTCAGCATTCTAAAGCATGCGATCAGAACTTATAATACAATCACGTTCAAGCCAAACTATTCCCAACAAGCATCGATGCTCACGTGGATCATAGCTCAAAAGTCCCAACTTTCACTCCACACAGCTCATCTGCGACCTGGAGTGGAAGAGATTTAAAGCCAAGAGGGATCCCTGGAGTCTAGAGGTCATGTGTGCACATTCCCTGCAGTCACATTTGTGATATTATGGCACAAATAATTTTAAAAACTTGCAATTGGTAACCAGAAAGTCAATCTAGACAATAGAATACTCCTATTGGGGATTCGGGGTGAAGAAATCAATGAAAAGAGCACGCTAGAGAAAGAAATGACAAGAAACCTTGATCAATAGCTACACTAAACATGTGAACCACTCCAAATGCCCAGACTGGAGAACGGACTAGCTCAATGAGGAGAGGAGCAAGTACAAACACCAGGTATTCTCCATAGTGCCAATTCTCAAGCTTGAACAAACAGAATCCTCCTGTATCTCTCACTGCTGTAAATGTGTGATAGATGCACAGCTAGTCGCTTGAAGCTCGTTTTGCTGCCTGAAACACCACAAAAAACAATGCTCGAATTTAAGACAACAAAATGATCAATGCACTCACTTTTCTACAAGGAGCTCCTTGAAATGGTTGTTCAGCAATTCCTGTCAGACTTCGCATTCCCTGATCAAGGGTTTATGACCTTCTAAGAAATCAGAAGAAGCTTAACCTCTGTAGTACTTTCTTTTGTTTTTGGATTGCTTTCGTATGTTAGCTTCATTTGCCAGTTGACTCCTTCCACGGCCATATACCATACTATGAGAAGTGTAAAAAGCTGGATGGGAATGATGGTATGCACATAACATTGCTGGCGGAGCAAAAGCATGTGAAATGTAATGTACAGACAGCAATGAACAGGAATCCACCTTTTGTCAAAGCCTCTTACCTAGGTTCCCTGCAACATGTTTGGCAGCCGTGTACTCATTGCGCTTCTATAGTCTTTATTGACGTAAAGTTTCCATCTTGTAGTGCTGAATTTAATTTGAAACTAACCTTGCATCACTCAAGGCTCCACGCCAGATCCCAGGGCCGAGAAGGCAACTCCGGAAGCGGCTAGAGCCCGTTTGTGACGACTTTTTGGCTAGTATTTGTGCCCCGTTGATCTCTCGCATGTGAAGTGAATTCTTGAGCTTAATAGTTTTGCCTCTTTAGGGCATTCGGAGAGTGTTACGCAGGAGCTTCTCAAAGTGCTTTGGCATGGCTTATCAGCAAACACTGTTCGAGGTGAGATCGATGTGCAGCGTTATCCTATGCCACAGACTCTGGCAGTGGAGGGCATCACCGGTGGCGCCATCCAGCTCCCACTCTTACCCGACAATCTTGCTAAGCTCAAGCATGTCTCACAGCCGGCACCTTTTGGCATTGGCGAGCGGACTCGTTTCGACACCAGCGTCCACCGGGCCTGGCAATTGGATTCCTCCAAGATCTCCTTCCCTGACAATCCAGAGTTTCTTCCCAAGAGGGTCCACGACATTCTCGAACATGGGAGTGAACACCGGAGCCCAGGACGTAGTACATCCGAGATCACCGTACGGCTGAGACACGTGGTGAATCTGGAGAGTCACGACTCTCACCTGTGTATGTATAGCGATGATGCGATAGAGTTTTTCTCTTCTTTCTTAATTTGTAACAGGAGCTTGGCGTGAACCTATACAAGCAAGTTGGGCATTTCAAACTTCACAGTGACACGGAAAAGGAAGATGAGATCATCCAGCTCCCCACCCAAATGGACCAGCTCTCACCGTCCCGCACTTGGGCTGCTCCAAGGCTTTGAACTTCCAATACACTAGTAGCTACTTCTACACCACCTTTTTCTGTGACTGCAAGCACAAGCTTGACGACAGGATCGAGATTGTGCTTGGTGTTTAGCTTGGTGAGAAAGAACACCAAGTTCTTGGGCGTGGATGATAGTGCGTTCTTCATATCGTCACTGTCTTGCGTTCAATCTTTCATGCAAGAATGGGCAAGCCGCAGTGAGGGTGTTAGAGCAAAGATGGTGATCCCGCTCTGCCTGCTCTACTCTGAGATTCGTTGGTGGTGATAGTCTAGAGCCATTTGATAAGTTCCATGACGAGGAAAACTCTGACAAGCAAGGCTACCTGGGGAACGAAGGTGGAACTTCAGAGTACTTCTATCACGTCGCAGTGCTGGTGGCCTGGCCCAAGAGTAAACGCTGTGACGCGATTCTCTGGAGTTGCTCGAGTCCCGTCCACAGCACAATTGTGGCTGGGCTTTTGAAAGACGCTGCCACTGCTGAGGATGCAAAGGAAGAGTTGGACAAACTCGAGGTGGCACTAGAGAAGTAGAAGCCGTCAGTCATAGGCAAGGTTTTGGACTTGTGCCTCGGGAACCTACAGTCTTACTCCATGTTTGATCAGGGAATCGAGAATTTGCTGGGCAACCTCAAGTCGGCAGGGTGTGAGCAAGGAGCAATGGAGCTGGCCAGAAAGCTCATGAAATATGTCAAGAAATGTCCTGTCAAACTTTTAGAGAAGCTGTTAGAGTTCTTCCTCGACACTCCAGCATGCAAGGCCGAGGCTTTGGAGATCGTCTCCGAGGCCCCGCTTGAGTGCGTTGCACTGGCAGTGCATCGCAGCCATGAGTACTGCAAGATCGTGGAAGCTCGAGTGGACAAGCTAACATCAACGGATTTGGAAGCGGAGAAACTCAAGCTAAAACTTCCATCGTGCAACCATCTTCGATGTTCACGGACGGTTCCTGGCCAGTGTTGTGAAGCTGATCTTCAAGCTTGTGGCGTATGGCTCGCTAGACATTGCCATGCAGCTCGCAAGCAAGGTGGAGAATCAGCTGCCGATGGATGTGGAAGAGGAACTCAAAGTATACTACAAATGCAACTACAGTCTAGTGCTAGTACTGCCGTTTCTGGTTTCATGGCGAAAATTGTCGACGAACACAGCAAAGTCTTTGAGAGGAAGAATAACATTGACACTGATGAGGAGTGCAGCCAGTTTGCTAGGCATGAAAGAGAGGGGCGCAGTGACAGCCTTGGTTGCTGGGCTGTGTGCTTCTTACTTGCATGGGAATGCTCCTCACTCATTTACGATATTTATCCCACTGCGAACTTTGGTTCTGCAGAAGAGCACTTTGATTCCGCGGAAGAGCTTGCTCGGGATGCGTACAATAGGGTGGCAAGCGTCCGCCATTGCAGTGTGATTCCCATGGCCAGGGATTCGGTGGAGAATGTGTTCTGGTTTGGGGTGAAGAGCTCATTGGCAAGGTGACTGGATTGCTCATGGACCAGACGCACCTAAGTTGGATCCTAATGCCCATGGCAAAGTTCGAGTTGGGTTTTACAAGCGTCTCGGACTTCTCCTGGGGGTTGACACTGGACCAAATGTGGATTGCTACAACCAGGAGCCATGGAACTAAGCTAGCTCGATCCCGAGAACTTGACAATAATGTATAGCTTGTGACAATGGTGTGATTAATTATAGTGAATGATAATCGTGTTTGTATAGTAATTGCTGTTGTCTTGGGTGGACCAGCTCTGTGTTGAAGACGTCGGAGAATGCCTGGAGCAAATGCTTGTGGACGTGGTTGAGCATCGCTGTGTTGGACGACGCTGGATCGACGAGCTTGGCGACGCTCCCCACGGCTTTGTCGCGAATGCCGCAAGGAACGATCTTGCTGAAGGGGGAGAGGTCGGTGGTGACGTTGAGCGCCAGGCCGTGGAAGGTGATCCACTTTGAGACACGGACTCCGATCGCCGCGAGTTTCTCCTCTCCTGGTGGAAGACGTAAAGGAAAAGAATGAAAACTTGGAGAAAGGTTGCGTTATACCAATCCAGACGCCTGTGAAGCCATCGACACGAGAAGCTCTGAGGGAGTACGCCGACCAGAGCGCCCGTATGACCACTTCTTCAAGAGCTCGGAGGTACCAGTGGAGATCGAGCTTGTAGTTCCTCAAGTTTAGAATGGGGTACATGACAAGCTGCAAAGGAGAAAGAAGAGAGTTTATCTTCGACGAGCTCTTTTCGAAGGACGATCGCTCGTACCTGGCCTGGTCCATGGTAAGTTACCTCTCCACCTCTCTCAGTGACGTGAAGCTCGTGAGGAGGATCGTCCGTGGCAAAGTTGAGGAACTTGGAAGAGCTCCCAGTCCCCATTGTGTAGACGGGAGTGTGTTGGAGCAAGAGCACGGTGTCGAGGTCTGGGCTGCCTTGATCTTGGCTGAGAGCTTTCGCATAATCGGCCACGATGCTTTTCTGCCACCTCCAAGCATCTGTGTAAGGGACGAGCTGGTCATAAAGATCATAGCACTGGCACCTAAAATGAAAGGAATTTCACACAAGAGCTTCTCTTCAAAGAAAATCACTTCACCTCCGGCGTTCCTTCATAAGCGGTGAACGTTCTTCCGCGGATTGCGCAAGAACTCCAGGCTTGGTTTTGATCGAGGCATAGCTAACACTGTTGCTGCAAGAAAGAGAGGTAATCTTGTGTGATAATCAAGGCTTGATCCTTACCTCGCCTTGACGATCGGAAGCGGCAAGATTGCTGGCGAAAGAGCGCTGGCCTCCATCGCCGATGGATCGATTGCCGCCTCGCCTCTTGGAAATTCCAGCGGCAGCTGGATCAAACAAAAATGTGGCCTAGCAAAATAAAAACCCTAGCTAATGCCCGCGGGGGGCATATCACAATGGCGTCTTCGTTGGGCGCCCAAGCGCATGCCCACGGCTATGGCCAGGCGCAAGCTCACGGCTATGGCGATGCCCGCAGCGCCAGATTCTTCAGGAATGCAGGTGATTTGTCTCCATCCTCTTGCCGATTTAGAGCAGCCATGGCCACGGCAAGCGCGTCGATATTGGCATCGCCGGCCATTCCAAGATCCAAGCCGGCATCGTCGCAAATCTCTAGGCTCCAAACGCAGCTGCGAAAGAAGGAGATTAGCGCCTTGGAGATCGTCACGGAGTATCTGGATCGATTGCGGGAGAAGGAGCCGGACGTGAAGAGCTTCCTCCATATTTCCAGCAGCGCATTGGATGAGGCGGCGGAGATTGACGGCAGGCTTGCCAGAGGCGATGATCCTGGGCCTCTCGCAGGTATTCCCATCGCAATCAAGGATAATCTGTGCACGCGAGGCATGCCTTCTACTGGAGGCTCCCGGATTTTGGATGGATACAGGCCTCCATACGATGCCACGGCAGTGAAAAGGCTCAAAGAATCCGGGGCAGTGCTCATAGGAAAGACGAACCTCGACGAGTTTGGCATGGGGAGCTCCACCGAAAGCTCGGCTTACCAAGTAAGTTGTTCGTCATAGTTTTCAACAAGTTTTCTTATGTTCTCATTCACAGGTAACTTCCAATCCTTGGGACTTGTCTCGCGTTCCTGGAGGATCGTCAGGAGGATCAGCAGCCGCGGTGGCGGCGGGACAGTGTGCTTGCGCTCTGGGAAGTGATACTGGAGGTAGCATAAGGCAGCCAGCTTCTTTTTGCGGGGTTGTTGGATTAAAACCAACTTATGGTCGGGTTTCTCGCTTCGGTTTGATGGCCTATGCTTCCTCGCTCGACGTGGTTGGATGCCTTGGCACCTCAGTTGACGATGTTTCGTTACTTCTGACTGCTATAGCAGGTCACGATCCGGCTGATGCTACTTCCAGCTCCAAGGTGAGTCTTATGCTGTGATTCCTGTTGGAACTAACGGGTTTACAGTTGTGCAGGTAGTTCCGAACTACTTGAAAGCATTAGTGCCAGCCAAAGAACTTCCGGGAAACCCTTTGGCGGGGATGAAGTTTGGGATCATAAAAGAGACAATAGGTGAAGGCGTCGAGCCTGCGGTAGCTCAAGTGGTGAAAAACGCTGTTGTTCATCTTGAGAAGCTTGGTGCTGTGGTTCAAGAGGTAACGAGCTATGTGTCCTGCTGCTAATCTCTGTGTATTACTGCCAGGTTTCTTTGCCTACCTTCTCCCTTGGTTTACCTGCATATTACGTACTGGCAGCTTCAGAAGCATCATCCAATCTATCACGTTATGACGGTATAAGGTACCAAATTTACAAGTTATTTAATCTCTTGGTTAACGATATTTGTCTTGTAGATATGGCCCTCGAGTTGTTGCAGACGAGCTTAATGCAATGTATGGTGCTTCTCGTGGACAAGGATTTGGGGCAGAGGCAAGTTAGACTTGTTACTATGAAATCTTTTTCCTGACTGTTTTCCGGATTTCATCAGGTGAAAAGACGCATTTTGATGGGAACCTATGCGTTGTCAGCTGGCTATTATGATGCATTTTATAAACGCGCACAACAGGTAAGTATCGTAGATCCTGCCCTTTTTTATTCATTGTCAATTGTTATGCCAGGTGCGAACTTTGATTCAACAAGACTTCAAGAAAGCTTTGGAGGATGGTCACATACTTGTATCACCCGTGGCTCCTAGCCCAGCTTTCAAAATCGGTTAGACACTTGCTGGAGTTTTGGTGTTGGTCTTTTGTCATCTCATTGCCTTGGCATGGCAGGAGAGAAAGTACTGGACCCCTTGTCGATGTATCTGGGAGATCTTATGACGGTGATGCTACGTCCTGCAGTTCCATGACTTTTGAGTTTTAAATTCTTTCTGTGCACAGGTGAATGTGAACATGGCTGGCCTACCTGCATTGTCGTTGCCCTGCGGTCTGATCGAGGACGAGGGCTCTAAGCTTCCAGTGGGATTGCAACTGATTGGCAACGCGTTCGAGGAGGTCAGTGCTACATGACAATGATCTTACATATGCATGTCACATAAACATATCTGTAGGAGGAGTTGCTGCGGGTAGGACACATTTTTGAGCAGACCGTTCCGACATGGTGATTGTGTTAGCTAACGCAAAGCTGAACAGACATAGGTGACAGTGTGAGTTGAAAGTTCCGCTCTTGCTTAAAATATTGATGCTGTAGCTTGCTTGGTTTTAACGTCTTTGGTGCTTCCAGGCTACGAAAGATCAACATCTGTACTATAGGACTGCTATAGAAGCCCTCGAGTGGGAGCATGCATAATTTTGCTACGTACTGGTGGAGCACGGATCATATTTGTCAGTGTTTATGCTTGGGGTCTGTGGCACAAAGAGCAAGAAAGTCAGCCGGCGGCATCGAAAAACAGGTATTTTTTTCTACTCGGTGAGTTTGGGGTTTGGTAGGGTGCTCTGGAATCTGGGTATGGCCGTGTCCGATCGGCAAGGAAGTTCTACTTTTAGGCACCCACATTGAGCAGCCATAGAAAAGGGAAAAAACAAAGGAAAAAAAGAAGAGAAAAAATGGTGAAGTTGATTCAAGGGGAACCAGGGGAGTCGGAAGAAGGCTATGGAAATGCCTTGTCGCAGCGCCTAGAGAAGGTTCAGTTCAAGACGCTAAAGCCACTGCTGTGGAAGTCACTGACGCAGGAACCGTTCCTCTCCGACCTCTCGCAGATGGGTCTTTCCTGCTTCTTCCAGTCCAAGTTTGTCCGGGGGGACGAGGCGCTGTGCCGAGAGTTTCTATGCAGCTACAAGAAGCATGGATCAGGGTATGTGAGGCAGGAAGTTGTCCAGACGGGCCCGAAGATCGTCCAGGTGGTTCTCAAGCTCCCTCATGGCGGGAAGGCAGTGAAGGAAGTTCCCAAGCTCACCTCTGAAGAGCTCTACAGCATGTACAACGGGCCAACCGTCAAGGTGAAGCACAACGGCTTTAGCGTCAAGGCGCTGTCCGATCCCCACTTCAAGGAGTTTGTGAGTTTCATGGTGGACCGGATGAGCTGCAAGGTGAACTGCACGTACGTGAGTGCGGAGATTTTGTACGCGGCCAAGTATGTCTGGGAGACCAAGGCCGTGCTAGACTGGGCCGGATATATGAGTCACAGGATCCAAGCTCAGTGTGAGAAAGTCCGGGGAACGTCCCAGAGCGCGTTCGAGTACACACAGTATCTCACTCAGATCATACACTATCAGCTGGGAATGGCGAGGGACGACGAGTTGCTCGTAGATACCGGATTGGGAATGGAGTCGCCTCCCGTCGTCCATGCTCTGAAAGTCCAACGCCCAAAGGATCAAGCGATGGGATTGGAACTAGCTAGCTCTGGTCGTGACGGTGATGGAAGCACCGTCCAGCAGCAGCACTCTGGAGTAAATGGTGGAGAGAAACGGCCGAGGAAACAGCACGAAGCAAAAGGTGCCGCGAAGAAGCAAAAGAGTAATGCTCGTGAAGGGCCCGAGTATGCTCTAAACCTGCTAGAGAAAGTGACTGACTGGATTAGAAGTAATGGCTCCGAGCAACAAAACCGTGGGATTGAGCAGCAGGCTGAGAAGAGAGTTACTCAGCTGGAATCAGAGCTAGATGAGATCAAGCGTCGCTGCGAAGCCGAGCACCAGCAACAGGTGCAATGGGAGGTGCAGCTTAATCTCGTCCAGCAGGAAAAGATTGTGTTGCAGGACCAAGTGCAAGCTCTGGTCGCTCAGCAGGCAGCTTTGAGGCAGCGCCTGGAGGTGTCCGAAAGGGAGAGGCTCCAGCTCCAGGCCTACTTGTCTCGGGCTATAAACGGGAAGAAAGACGATAGCTTCTTCAGGGATCAGCCGAAATAGAGCTCCCTTGAAGCATCGGGAGTTTGCGTGTACCACTAGACTTGGCTTCCGGTAAGTCTAGCTGGTTAACTAGCTTTTTCTTTTGCGTCTCTCATACATACCTTGCAGTGCGCAGACTGCTGCTCCACGTAAAAAGGAAGTTCGTCCAAGCATTTCTAGCCCATGCAGGAACACTGATCACTATTTCGAGGTAATGTAGCGTTTGCTTTCATTAAAGAGCACGCTACAGCTTTGACAATGTTCTCTTGGAACGCAGAGGATGGGGAGTTCTCTTGTACCAGACCTGGCTTCCGGTAAGTATAGCTGGCTATCTAGTTTTGTCTCTCATACATACCTTGGATTGCGCAGACGGTTGTGTTCTATGTTGTTGCTCCACGTAAAAAAGGGTGCGTGTGGAGGAACACTGGTCTAACAACGTGAATGAATCCTTTCGAGGTAAAGTAGCGTTTGCTTTGTTACAACTTTGACAGCCTTCTCTTGAAATGCAGAGAACTTCGCAGTTAAAACATCTACGGCTGGAACCGAGAGGTATGTCTCTTCTTTACAACGAAACACAGGACCTCTTGAGACGAAGGCGAAGAAGGGGCCTTTGGTTGATAAACCCTGGGGGGTGGGGGAAGTTTTCTCTATAGGGTTCTTGGAGGCATGACATCGCCCCCGAATCTGGCAAAGTTCCTCAAGCCGTATGTGCTCAAGGTGCAGCTCTTCAGCCGGCACATGACCGCTCATGTGATCCACCGCATCACCACGCGCACGGTGGCAATGTGCGACTCGAGAGAGGCCCAGCTGCGGGAAGAGATGGCCCAGCTCGAGTCCGTGGCCCGGGCCGCCAGGGTGGGCGAGCTTCTAGCGTCCAGGCTCAAGCTCAAGGAGGTGAAAGAGGTGGTTTTCCAGATGGAGGAGGAGATGAGAAAGGTGGAGGAGGCTAACAAGCAGCGGATGCTCAGGGCCTTTTCGAGCAAGCTCGTCGAGGGCGGTGTAGATTTCGTGTAGAGGTTCTAGAGGTGGACGGGCGATGCGGGACAAGGGAGATTTCTTGCTCAGCAACATCTTCTATGGAGATGGGAAAGGAGAGAAGGTTTTCTTTTTTGTTTTCTCGGCCCTCGTCGCGTTTTGGGTCTCCTCGATGCGTTTTGGGTCTCCTCGATCGATCGCTGCCTGCATTTTGAGAAATTGGAAGAGAGGAACAAGAGAAAAGAGAGAGAAGTTCCACCACTGTAAAATAATAACTCCTTGCATTTCATGAAGATCAAAGCTTTTGGTCGTTTGCTTTTATGGCTGCTCTACTCTTCTTTGTTTCCCATGGAAACTCTCCATCTGTAAGACACAAAAGATAAACTCGTTTGTGGTTTCGCTGGTTGTGTCAAGCAAAACAAACTGAAAACTCCATAGCCATCAATGACAACATGAGCGTCAGAATTACTTTGTTATTTGCTAGCCGGGTTCTCACTTTCGGAGCCAACTTTTCTGGAAGTTTTCTCGTACTCCTATGACCTTTTCCTCAGCCACTCGTCGATGGAGTCGGGATCCAGCGTCGACGGCGTCGGCAGCTCAATGAAGGACGACAGCGACGACTCCTCGGAGCTCTCGGAACCACTCTCGGAAGAGAGCGACGAAGACGACGTCGTCGAAGAGGAAGAGCTCGAAGAACTCGAAGGAGAAGCCGACGAAGAATCATCCTCACCGCTCTCGAAGGCCTTGTTCCTGAAATGCCGGGGGGACCGCAACCGGACTCTACGTCCACTCTTCTCATTCTCCGCGGAGCTCTGCGACGTGGTGGCGGTGGTGGTGGCCGCGGCTACGTGCGACTCGGACGACGAGCTCGCGGACCAGGAGCGCGGCACGTCCTTGGCAGCGTCGGGCTTCCGGCTGGCGGCACACTCGGCTGGCTTGGCCGGAGGAGCCTTCGGCGGGTTATGGTGGTGGATCCTCGACAGTGGCAAGTGGAACATCGGCCGGGGCGGCGGCGCGGTGGCGGGTCTCTTGCGCAGGAAGTTCTTCTTCTTCGTCGCCAGCGTCTCCGCGAGGACGTCCGGGCTCATGTTCTGCGGGGACAGCTTGAAGGGAGCGCTGGCCGGTCGGACGGGCCATGGCCGCGGAGGTGACGCCACCACCTCACCACCTTTCTCGTCCCTGGCTGCTGCTTTCACTGCCTTAACGTCCAGCTTGCTCTTCATGAGCTTGGCCACCGCGGAGTAGTTCCGCCACCTTTGCTGCTTGGGCGATGGAGTCGTCGTCGCCGTGGTGGTGCTCGTCTTCGTCGGCTTGTCTCTCTCCTTGGGCAGCACCTCGTCGATAAGAGCTCGGATCATCGAGAACTCCTCTCGGCTTCCACTGGCGGAGACCGACGGCCTGGCGAGCAGAGCTTGCTCCCTCCGGCTGTGGCCAGGAGCCGACTTGCACCGCCTGCTCAAGCTCGAGCCTTTGGATCCAAACACCTTCTCCGGGTGGTGGTGGACTTCTTCCGGCCGTCTCTCGCGCTCTCGTCGCTTGTGGAGGAAGTCGGCTACCATGGACCTGGAGATCGGCCTCTCCCGCGGCAGCGGTGGCCTCTTCCTGTGCACCAGAGTCGAGACGAGGGATTCCTGGAGGGGCCTCTCCCTGAGGACTGTGGGCCTCTTGCGAGGCAGGAAGTCGGAGAGGAGCGTCCCGTACATGAAAGGCTCTCGCTGGGTGATGTTCCTGTGCACCAAGTCGGGCTGGAGCCTCCTCCGTGCTGGCCTGTAAAACTTTCCATCTTCCAGCATCCTGCGCTAGATTGCTTTGCTCTGGTAGGAGAAAACAAGAAAGCAAAACCATACAACCAACTTAACTGATTCGTTTTGTGATGTGTCACTGAAGAAGCGTCTACAAAAAACGAGAGATTGAATAACGGTGTGTCGAAATGTGATCATTGTGATGAGGTTTCCTCCCTGTATCTACAGCGTCCCCTTTGATTCACCTGTATTTCATGCTTCCCGTGTCGAAGCCAGGCATCTCAAACGCGGACGAAAACTGTTCCACCTTTCGCTTGAGCTCCACCACATCTTTGTTGCTTTGAACTACGCTGCTGCTCGCCAGCTTGGGATCCTTCTGCGACTTGCAGTCTCTCTGCAAACTCTGCGCAATAGTCACAGCGTTGCTGAGAAGCTCGGCGATGGTCTCAAAGTCTTTTTCAACGCATCCTCTCGAGGTCATGGCTGGGGAACCTGGGAAAAAAGATACATTACGTTATGCTCGAGAGCCATACAACTCATACCAATGCGAATTCCTCCAGGACCTCTTACGGAGCTGTCGCCATAAACAGTACACTTGTTCACGGTAATGTGACATAACTCCGTGACTTTCTCAAACCATGCGCCTGGAAAAGAAGCGAAGAAAACGGGAGAACGACGTTCAGAGCAGTTCTTGTAACTGACTACTTACCCGTGATGCCGAGAGGCCGTAAATCCCAAATCAACAAATGATTATCCGTCCCGCCAGTAACAAGCTTGAAATTACGCCTGACCATAGCATCAGCTAAAGCCTTGGTATTCTGGAGCACTTGTCGTATGTAGTCCTTGTACTCTTTGCTAGCAACCTGCTTCAACGCGACAGCCAGGCCAGCGATATGGTTGTTGTGAGGTCCCCCTTGCAGGGACCGAAAAATCGTAAAGTTGATCTTTTCCTCGTAGTCATACGAGCTCTCCTCGGCAGTGCTGCCATTCTTGCGAGGCCTCCCTCCTTTCCTGAAAAACACCATTCCTCCTCGCGGGCCTCTCAGAATCTTGTGTGTTGTGGAAGTCACTATATCGCAGTACTCAAAGGGACTTACACACTCCTGCAAAAAAGCAGCTATCGTAAGACACAAGCGAGAAAGAAAAGATATAAAAGTGAGCGAGAGAAAGAGAAGTAGTGTACCTGAGTAGCAACAAGGCCACTGACATGCGCCATGTCACACATAAGAATAGCACCATACTTGTCCGCGAGATGGCGAAAATTCTCGTACTTCCACTCCCGGGGATAGGCACTCCCTCCACACACGAGAATTGCTGGTCTGTAAGCGCTCACCAGCCTCTCCAGATTCTCGTAGTCGATGAGCCCCGTCTGGGGGTCGACACTGTAAGCCAGCGTCTCGAAATGGATGGAAGTCGCCGAAACCTTCTTCCTCCCGGCGATGGTGTAGCCATGGCTTGGGTGGCCGCCGGAGAGAACGTCCAGTCCCATGATCCGGTCCTTGGGTTGCAAGAGCGCCGTGAACACCGCAAAGTTGGCGGACGTGCACGAGTAAGGCTGGACGTTCACTCCCCAGCTCTTGGAGTCGAGGTGGAAAGCTTCCAGAGCTCGGTTGCAGCACAGCGCCTCGATCTGGTCGATATACTCGTTGCCACCATAGCAGCGAGCTCCCGGATAGCCTTCGCTATACTTGTTCGTGAGATGGCTTCCAAGAGCTTCCAGCACCGCCTGGGAGGTGTAGTTCTCGGACGCTATCAGCTCGATCCCCTTCCACTGCCTGGACTTTTCGTGCTCCATCAAGTCCCAGAGCTTGGGATCCAGCACCGAGAGTGGCTGGTTCCCCCACTCTCTCGTGCTCTTGCGCGCCGCCTTGGCACCATCTTCTTCGCAACCGTGGTGGGAGCTCTGGACGGAGCTTACCGAATGCTCCGGGCATGGAGTCTCCGGGAGCTGCATCAAACCTGGCTGGAGACCATGGGGATGACGAGCTAAAGATCTTGGCAGTGGCTTGAAAGCGGTAGCGGTGATCTGGTTGGAAGGCACAAGCTCCTCCTTGCTTCTCTTTGCTCTTGCTACCAGTGAACCCTCGAGGACAGTGTGCTGCCTTTTACCCCCCAATCCATGCTGCTGCCAGCTCTGGAACACGCTGCAATCCCCGCGGTTCTTCGCAGCTACGGGAGCGTGGATTCTTCCATTCTCGCCGGAGAATTCTTGCTGCAAAGCTGGCTTGGAATCCTCATCACTCATCGGCCCCAAAAATCAAGCTGTGGCAAGGAATCAACAACAGCACCAACTCGATTGCGCCGCCGCCATGGCTGAATGCCTAGGAAGCGATCGAAAACTTACAGGGTAGAGAATCGCCTTGGCCTCGAAGCGTGGAGCCCTAGATACATACATCCCCCCTGGTCCAAATAACAGAAAGAAAGAAAAGAAAGAAAAGAAAGAGAATATTCGTTTCCACTTTCAAGAGCCCTAAAATGATTTAGGGTTTAGTCAAGATTCTGATTGGGACGACAGGTTGGCACGTATATTAAGCTAAGTATTTTGGGAGCAAGAGGAGTCACGAAAGCTTGGGACAGGCCACAGAATTGGATCTTGCGCGACGCTATCATTTGATAAGGTTCATCCAACCACACCAAACCTCCCCGTTAGATTTATATAACTAGATTCATCCGTAAGCTCATGCAAACGTATGGAATAAGAGAAATCTGTACTTGATATGATGCCTTGATCGGTCGATTAGATGCCAGCGTATTTAATTACCATGAATGGTAGCTTCTCTCTTTTATCATATTTCGTTAAGGAGTATCTTCGGTCTCTAAAAATGCTGATTCTTGTTTGTAAAAACGTTGAGGAAAGTTCACCATTTCCTCCGGTTGTTGTTTCGTGTGTAAGATCCAAAAACGCCCATTCATAATCAAAGTAACAAAATTATAATCAATAGTTTCTAACCTGTTAGAGGAGCAAATTATTTTCTTTAACCATGTTCTAAATGTTAAACCATCCTTATTTAACTTTTATTTATTTTTGTTACTATGGATTTCTTTGAGGTCATTTGCCCAAGACTTATACTATATGGTAATAAAAAAAATATATATTTAATTTAAATAAGAAAACCAATTCGATCTAAGAAACTCCTCTTGCTGAAAATGGCATGTGTCAGAGACAAAAATCCTGCCAATGTTACATAGTTACCCATCAATCTATTAGAGAACTGGTCAAAAGAAAAAAGTTGAAAGAAGAGAGCTTGAAAAGGAAAACTCAGAGCATTTTTTATTACCTTAAGTGCTCTTGATCAAACTTCCAACTTCTACGATGGCACGACTAGAGGCTTCAGGAAGGTTGATATAGACTGCTATCAACAATATTCTAAAAATCATACAGGACTTAGAAAAAATAGATTATGAAAATCTTCTAAACACCTTGCCAGGTATATTTTTGTAAGTAATTGTACTTTAATTCACTATCACCAAGGAACCCTAATTCCTCAGGCAGCATATTGTTCCTTTCTTAATATTTTGGTTTTTTTAATCCAAAACTAAACTAATTTGGCCTTACCACGTATTTGACCACGATGTGGATCCAGAGGATGCTTGCTGTCCAAATTGGCGCAGACATCGCTACTGAGATCTGGTGAGTTCTGTAGATTGTGATCTAGAAGCTACAGCAGCAGATAGTGGTCAAGATCTGCTATGATCAGTGGTGTATATAACTTTAATTTTCCTCAAGGTGACGGAATCTTCATGTGTTTTGAATCGCAATGGCTATTTGTATTACCTATGTATTATTACATTTAGTTAAGGATATATGATCTCAATCACTTTTCTTCTCAAACTAAGATCCATCTTCTTGCGTGATGACCGATCATTAAACCCACAACCACAATCCAACGACATTTACAATGTAGTGAACCTGAAAGTGGAGGTGAGTGAACATCTTGCCAAAGTAGAAACCACCAAGTTCTGTCACTTGGACATTGAGTTAACATTGAGGAAGCAAGGAACCCACCGTAGTATAATTAATGAAACAAATTAACGCCTATCAAAACCGTATATGCTTAAAGTGTGGCAGATTAACCTTTACATTGAAAAATATTCTAGGATATCTTCGTTTTTGCGGAGCTGGGAATGTAGTTGGACCACTCTTTGAAGGAGCCCTGCAAGTAAGTAACGGTCCGGGAACAGGAGGAGCGCCATTTGTCATGTGTAAGAAATCCTTAAACCGCTCTGACGGCGAAATTGCCTTGTTTGATCGCATCTCCTGAAAGTGTTGGCACCCAATTAGGCCCCAGCATGACGGCTCGGGCTTGGCCAGCCGGCAGCGCTCTAGTGATCCTTCTGCTCGTCTCGACGATCCTACTCTATTTTATGCCCTCCAGGTTCCGGAAGGGCTCTCTCCTCCTCCAGAGCGGAAAGGAAGTCAATTCCCCCCAATTTTTCCAGCCATCCGGTCCTTCAACAGGCTTCGATCTCTTGCGTTTGTCTGAAAATGGGACAAGGAGCTGTCACAACGTGAGCACGGCATTCGGGCATCTGTTTGGAGTTCCCAGGCCGGAGGAGAGCAGCGGGATCATCACCTTGTCCACGGATCAGGTTCACAGGTTTTGGATCGTTTCATTCGCCGCCGATGGAAGCAAGAGGTGCTTTGGAGGAGATTTCTATGAGACAGATCTCTCAGGTACGAGGCAACTTGTCGTTTATAAGTTTCGTTCTTCGTTCCTGAGAAATCTGCAAGTAGGTCCAAAGTGGAAGTCACGACCACCAACAACGGACTTTGGAGACGGCTCATACCTCGTGGAGCTCAAGGTTGATGGAGATTTTGCCGGGATTTACAGCTTCAAGGCCATCCTTCTCTTCGCAAACTTGCATGGAATGGATTCACACCCGGAGAGATGGTTCCGCGGTCAGGAACAGTTCGTTCTCCAGATCAACTTCACGTCCAGCGGCGAGCATCACCGCTCAAGGCCACTCCCAGTTTGCACAAGCAACGACTTGAAATCGTCAGCACCAACAAAGTGGTGGGGGCAATGGACGAGATCACTGACTTCAAACGAGAACTCCTGCGAACTAGACCACGATGGACGATACCTCTGCCTGGACGGCGACGAGAAGTACTGCGAGACAACGTCCTCACGCTGCACAGGAACTCTGGCAAGCCTGGAAAGCAATGGATGGGTCTACTCGACTGGAACCTGCGAGTTCCATCTCTGGAACCCGTCTGAGGCGTGGCAGTGCTTGGACGGGAAGAAGATCTTCTTCTGGGGGGACTCAAACCATCAGGACACCATTCGCAACCTCATGAACTTCGTGCTGGGATTTCACCAGGGCCTGCTTCCACGGACTTTCAGCACCACTGTCGCCAATCCTTCCAATTCTTCGCAGAAGATGGAAGTCGTGAGCGTTTTCAATGGCCACCCGGATCCATCGAGAGACGACCGCGGTCTAGAATCACTCTACGAACAGCAGTATCGCGAGTTTGTGGAGGACGAGTTCTTCCGCGATGGGTCTCCCGACGCGGTCATCCTCAACTCGGGCCTCCACGACGGGATTCGATGGAACAGCGCGGCGGAATTCGCCGCCGCCGCCGACTACGCCACGGCCTTCTGGAAGGAGCTCGTCAACGGCACAGGCACGAGAGTGATCTTCCGCTCCACCGTCACGCCCGCAGGCGCATCGAGAGGAATGCAATCCAACCCCGCCAAGATGGAAGCCTTCAATGCGATACTCGGGGAGAAGATCCGGCGCGCCATGGATCATGCGAGATTTGTGGATGCCTACGACATGACCTTTCCCTGGCACTACGATCACTGCTGCAGCGATGGAGGGCACTATGGGCGGCCGCCATCGCTCACGTCCTGGCATGGCGGCATCGGCCATCGCTACTTCGTCGATCTAATGCTCGTCCACATCCTCCTCACGGCTGTTTGCCCCAGTTAGTTCAAAAGCATTTTTTGGAGGGATTTGACACGTTTGGAACCCTAAAACAAATGTTCTCCATGAAATCCATGAAAGAAGACGATGCGTGTCCGTCATGCGATCGTGCACTTGATGGCAAGCTCTTTCGATTCATGCGCGTGAGAGAAAGAAAAAATGCGATTGCTCATCCGGTTTTCTGGAAACGATTATCCACGCATCCGGTGTTCGCTCCGCCGCATCCAAGGTGCTACCATCCATTCTTTCAGTTATTCTATTCTTTCCCTTTGCCAATTTCTTTCTATTCCTTTCTAGGCTGCTATCCAATTTGGAATGGGACCAAGAGGCTCTAGTCTCATTTATGGTTGCACAATTCATCATAGAAGACTTGAATCAGCTCTAGCAGCGCCGATGTTTCTTTTTCACTATGCTACAATCCTTTTACTTTTTTCCTTCTGTAGCCCTACAGAATTTGCAGCTCATATGGCTGTTGTGACCGCAACCTTCAGACTTCTCGCAGATCAAGATAGCTATCTTTTCCGATGAGTTAAATCATGTTTCGGGTGGCTCAAAAGCAGAATAACATGAGATTTTATGCTGTAAGTTTGACTTGCGTGATTTAATCTTTTCTTTTGTCTCAAGTGCAAAGTTGAGAGGAAGGTCGTGGTTACTGACAGGTATCTCATCTCTAGCATCAATCAAAGGCTCTGGTATAGATGGAGATTTCGCCCCCTTGGTTCAACTGCGGCATTAGTGTAACATCCTTCTGGTTGTAAGTTTTCTGTAACATCTCATAGTCTTAAAACTAACCTGCACTTTGTCTGTGGTGAAAATGGAGGTGGGGTGGCTCAAGCTTATGGTGTCGAAGAAAAATCGATGTTTATATTGGCACTTCGAGCAAAGCATCTGCTTGTCATTGCTACCAGTTCTGACATGATTTTTCAGGCACTTGCTCTTCTCTCAATCGTTTCTCAAGCCCAAGTGGAAGTTGCTGATGGAGTTTGACATGGCTAGACATATGAAGTCTAATCGTTTCGGTGGTCATTAGCAGCGAGAAAGATGCACTCTTGTAAGCAAGCAAGTAAGAACCATGACAATTTTTTTTGTTAGTCCTCTTGTTGCAAAGTCCTAATGACTTCGCTTACAACTTGTTTTTGTTATGTAAGGACGTTCTAAAGAGCAGTTTTTATGTACTGCCAATTAGACCGCCAGATACTTCAGGTAACCACATTCTCTCATATCTAGAACTCACTGCTTGCTTCAATGCGTCACTCACTTCTCCTGCTAAATATTCAAATTTTACTTAGTTTTCTTTTAAAACAATGACATTGTTTTTTTAAAATAATTTTTTGTTATTATAAATTAAAAACATAGTTTTGATCATTGAGTATAGAATGTTAAGAAAATTTTCAAGCACTGTCCCTTCTATAATATTGCAAGAAAGCAAATTTATTTTGGAAAGCTTGTCGGCACCAATATGCGGTCCTTGATCTCTTCAAACGACTTGACTTCTTTTTTCCATAGCCTGCAAGTAAACTCGTCAGAGGACCTGCCGCTTAGAAGGCCCTTTCCTTTCACAGGCTCTTACCACGCATCGATTCCAACAGCATTCGCTCCTTGCTTGTCCGCCACGGGGTCATCTCCAACATGAACTGTGTCTCTGGCTTGCACCCCGAGCTCATCTGCATGGCTCGAAGAATTAAGAGATTTTGCAGCGTCAATCTTAGCATTGAGAGTACCCAGTGCGGTAAGAAATATTTCCTTCGCTGGTTTCTCGTGACCAATTTCAGAAGAGATAACAAGAGCATCAAACCTGCAAACCAGCCGTAAGGCCGTAGGAAGAAAAAGCTTCTCTTACACATCGGATATGTTCAGCTCTGCCAGAATGGGACGAAGGCGAGAATCAAAGTTGGAAACGACGGCAAGCTGTACTGGAGGCCAGAAAACACGTGAGAAATCGCAAGATCTTCCTAGGGAAAACAAAATCAACTTGCCTCCTGCACCTCGCAGGTCCTTCAATGCGCGCTCTGCACCATCGACAAGCTTCCATGCATCACCTCTTCCAAAATACTGACAAGAACATAGATGATCCACTAAAAAGTAACCTTATTATGCTCACCTGATAGAGTTCTTCAAAGTAGTCATCATTATCACAGCCTGTTGCGGTGGCAACCGCATACTTCCAAAACCTCCGACCATCACCCTGAACTCAAAGCTCAACCCACGAAAAAAAGAAATGTAACTACGGACGAACCTCGTAGCGAAGTCTCTCCGGCCATGGTTCACTGAATGCTTTCTTAAACCCCTTTTTGATTGCATCGGCATCAGCCTGAATTCCTGGGGAGGGTAAAAGTCAGCGCATGTCAATAGAAAATGTGATAGACCCTACTCACCGTACTTGGAGCCGAATGAAGCGTACACTTGCGGCACTGGCTGAGACGTTTCCAGCAGCGTTCCACCCACATCGACCAAAAGGGCTCTATAAGCCGGAGGTGAATCTGGATGAGAGGTAAGTGTCGGATGCAAACATAAAAGAACGAAGGATTTTCTTACTTTTGCTTGAGCTTGAGCACGATACGGGACGAACCCACTGCCGCCGCTTGTGCCGATTGCAAAGACCCACCTTCCACCTTAAGCTTACTCCCAAGCTCGCCATCTTGGAAACTTTCATACGCCGGAGAAGAGCAACATCAATGCCAAACGAAGGAAAAAGGTAAAAAACACAGACCTCTGTCGGATATAAACCCAAACGAGCAATGTAAATCTCAGAAGAGCAAAGAGAAGTAGAAGACAACCGAAGATCTGAACTCCCAAATCTCACAACTCTTGAGGAGTCAACAAGTAGACCATAAATTGATCATTTGCTGCTTCTTCCTCCGAAGCAACACACAGACTTCGTTGCTCATAACTCTGAAAAGAGAAGAAAAAGAAAGCTAGAAATCACGAGGCAGCAGGAGCAACTTCAGTTAGAATTCCCGAACCTGTTACTGCTGCCACCATCGGAGGGACTTCTAGCGCGGCTGGCTTCTTGAGAGCAGCCGAAAGCTCCGTGAAGTATGGCATGTCCGCTGGCTCCTTGACGCCGTCGCTCACGTCCTTGTACGCAGCGGTCAGCTTGTCCCACTTCTCCCTGCATTGTTTGCCGTCCCTGGGGATCCCCTGAGCCATGAGAACCTCCGAAAGCTCCTCCCACACCGCTGCTCGCCTCGTCCCACTCGAGAACTGCGCTTCCATGTCGCCCCGGAGCTTTATCAGCTGGAGGACCTCGGCCCGCTTCCAGTTCTTGCTCCGCTTTTTCGCTCCGCCACCCGCGAATCCTTCCGGCTTTGGCTGGGAATTCGAGAGCCCGTTGTTAAGTTGCTGGAACTGCCCGGCGGCGGCGAAGAGACCAGCACTGTCGTTGTTGCCAACCAGCTTTTGAGTGAGGAAGATCATCGCGTTGTTGAACGCAGCCCTCTGAGCTCGGTCCTCGGATCTCCACTGCTCCTCGCGCTCCTGCCGTATTTGCTCTCGCATTTGCTCCCGCCGCTCCATGGAATCCAGGAGCTCCCGGAAGAACCTCTGCTGCTTCGCCACCACCGCTTCCACCAAGCTCTGGACCACCGCAACATCGGCGACAGGGACGTACTTGGGCAACTTGCGTTTCTTCCTCGCTCGCCCAGACCCGCCACCACCTTGGGAGCTCGCACCAACATTTCCTCCCGATCCATCCAGCACCTCGTCCTCGTCAACGTTGAGAGCGTCCTCGCGCTGCTGGTGGTTTGCAAATCCCTGTTCTTGAGGGTGATCTAACTGCTGCTGGTGTTGGTGGCGATGATCCTCATCCATCCTGCCGGCATTGGAATTCCTCGGCCCCGCCATTCTCCCGGACAAGACCGGGTGGAGAACATCGTAGAGCAAGAAGTCCTCCTTGGGCTTGTTCCCATCCCTGACCTCCTTGTAGGTAGCGCCCAGCTTCTCCCACTTGTCCCTACACTGCTGCCCGTCCCTGGAGATCCCCTCGCGATTCAAGGCCTCGGCGATCTCGTCCCACAGCTCCATCTTCTTGCCGCCGCCGCAGAAGCGCGCCTCGTAATCCGCGCGGAGCCCGATGAGCTTGAGCATCTCCAATCGCGTCCAGTTCTTGGAGCGGCTCTTCTTGCTGCCCGGCTGCTCGCTGCTGCTGTTGTGCGCGGCGTTGCCCTTGCTCTTGTCATTCTCCTCGTTCTTGGCGCAGGGTTCCACCGGGATCAAGGACCGCGGCACGGCGATCGACGCGCCCTGCGCCGACGAGCTGCAAACCCCGGCGGGAGCTTCCGGATCGATCCCCAGGCCGGGAGCGGTAGCGGCAGCGGCAGGGATCGAGAAGAGCGAGTCGTGCGACGGCGCCGGGAAGGATTGGAGCAGCGAGAGAGCGAACAATGGGATGGATTGGGATGAGCAACAACCTGTCTCGACCGCCGACGACGCCTCGTCCTCGTCGCGCCATTCCTCCTCGTCGTCCTGCTCCATCGCTTCCTCCATTCGGGGCATATTCCCGGATTTTAGGGCTCTATCCGGATATACGAAAATAACAAATTCAAATTTCTCGTAAGAGCTTAGCTAAATGTAGCGGGAAGGGAATCCGCGAGATTTGATTCCTTCACACACAATCACGGGAAAAAAGAGGACCGACCGAGGGAAGAAAGAATTTCTCCCGCCATTAAAGGGACACTGGGCCATTGAATGCCACCACCGAAATTGAAAAGGCCGTGGAATATACGCCGAGATGCCTTCTTCTTCTCCGCCATTAAGATCGTACAGCTGGCTGGCGCTCTCGAGCGTGCCGCGCGCTTCCTTCCTGGCTGTATTTTGGGGTACTGTCTCCACTACGGTCTATAGTATTCATACTGTTTGGAGAGTACGCTCCGAAGCGCGCGGCATTCATTACTATGAAATGGTCACATGGTCAGCGCCTGCGTGTGCGGCGTCGCGTGGTCGTAGTTTCTCGTTTTACAAGGTTTTAAAAAGCACTTGTTTTGATTTATTAAACCAAACAACACACGGCGGCGGTACAGTCTGTCACCGCGTTGACCCTGGGAGATTCCACTGCGCGGTCGGTGGATATTCCCCCGCGCTTGACCGATAACGGACTCATCATGTGACCCGGTGCTGCTAGATAGATTTAGCAGAAGCTTCTCACCACCACCACACATTTGCCCTAGAAGAACTAGTTTCTTTCTTTCTTCTTGCTGATCGCTTGTCAGCGGGGAAGTTCATACGGGACGAAGATTCTCGCGGGAATCTAAAACGATGCTTGGTTTGATCCGGTGCGGGGAGGATTCCGAGGCCGCGGGAAGGAGCAAAGATTTTTGTCTCGATTGATCGCTTGAAAGGAAGAGTGGGAGAAAGCGAGAGAGGGAAGAGAGTGAAGAAGACTCGGAAAGGAAGGCGCTCTTGTTGTTGCTGGGTCGATTCTTTCGTTGAGCGACATTAAATTCCACGCGAGAGGCAAGAGGAAAGAAGAGTAGAGGCGGATAGCGAAAGAGCGAGAGGAGCGATCATAAGTTTTGTGGCGGACAGCCATGAGGTCGTTTCGAGAGCTTGTGGGGCTCGAGGATTTCGTAGCGGTGTGGTTTTTGCTAGTCCAGGCCAATTCATGGGCTCGCCGCTGGAGGAAATCCATGGCGGCCACCAGGGGAGCAGCAGCGCCATCGCCACCGCCGCCCAAGCACCACCAGCACGACGCAGCGGCGGCGCCGCCCACATTCGCGGACTCGATCGAGAATTGCTGCCTGGATGGCCGTGACGCCGCCAGCGTGGTGTCCGATCTCCACGGCACGCTCCTCCGCTCCGCCAATTCCTTCCCCTACTTCTTCCTCGTCGCCTTCGAGGCCGGCGGCGGCTTCCCGCGCGCGCTCCTCCTCCTGGTAATGTACCCGCTCATCCTCGCCGCCGAGGCGCTCGTCTCCACATCCCTGGCCACGCGCCTCTCGATCTTCATCGCCGTGTGTGGCGCCCGCGAATCGGCCGTGGCCACCGTCGCGCACGCCGTTCTTCCCAAATTCTTCCTCGAGGACATGCATCCGGATGCCTACCGCGTGTTCATGGCGTGCCCGCGCCGGATCGTCGTCACCGCCACGCCCCGGATCCTCGCGGAGCCCTTCCTGCGCGAATTCCTGGGCGTGGAGCGCGTCGTCGGCCCCGAGTTGGAGGTGACTCGCGGCGGGATTTGCACGGGATTTGTGCGCGGCGGCGACGGGACCAGCGAAGAACAGGCATTCAGGGACTGCTTCGCGGATCAGAGGCCAGGGATTGGGCTGTGCAGCAGCGATCGCGCGCCGGAATCGCGCTTCCTGCCCCTCTGCAAGGTAACGATCGATATTTTTTTCAAACGGTTCTAATGGTGGTCTTCCCCAAATTTCTTCCTTCCTCTTCCAGGAGGTCTATCTCGTGCCCAGCTCCAAGGCGGTGGATCCCGTGCCGCGCACCCTCTACCCCAAGCCGCTCGTCTTCCACGACGGCCGATTCGCCATCCGCCCCACGCCGCTGGCGGCGCTCGCGATCTTCCTGTGGCTGCCCTTCGGCTTCCTCCTCGCCATCCCGCGCATGCTCGTCGCGGTGCTCAGCCCCAGCGTCCCCCTGGCGGGATTCCTCGAGGCGCTGCTGGGGCTCCAGATCCGGATGCGCGGCAGCCCGCCGGCGGCGGCGCGGATCCACGGCCACGGCGTCCTCTTCGTCGCCACGCACCGGATGCTGGTGGATCCTCTCTTCCTCTCGGTGTGCGCCAGCCGGCGCGTCACGGCGGTCACCTACAGCATCAGCCGCGTCTCGGAGCTGCTGGCGCCGATCAAGACGATGCGGCTGACGCGATCGCGCAGCCAGGACGCGCGCGCCATCCGGGCGCTGCTCGCGCAAGGCGATCTCGTGATGTGCCCCGAGGGCACGACGTGCCGCGAGCCCTACTTGCTGCGATTCAGCTCCCTCTTCGCGGAGCTGACGGACATCATCGTGCCGGTGGCGGTGGCGGTGCGCTTCCAGTTCTTCCATGGATCCACGGCGCGGGGGTGGAAGGCGCTGGATCCGCTCTTCTTCCTGCTCAATCCCTTCCCGGCCTACACTATCGAGTTCCTGGATCGCGTGCCCGACGAGTGGACGGTCTCGTCCGGCAAGAGGACGAGCATCGAGGTGGCCAACTTCGTCCAGGAGAAGCTGGCGAGGGCTCTTGGCTACGAGTGCACGAATTTCACGAGGAGGGACAAGTACCGGATGCTGGCTGGGAACGATGGGATCGTCAAGGGTGAGCGATCGACCCACGAGAAGATCCATGCAAAGGTGGCGGGGGGGAGATTTCTAGGGCTTTTTCAATGCCGGCAAGGTGGCAAGATCTAGAGTGTTCTTGGTTTTGTTTTTTTTTCCTCTTCTAGGGACACGGCTCGATAAGCGCTTTGTACATTACATTCTTCTTACGTCAAGAACAAAAAGGAGTCTCGTATACATGGTGACGAGATCTTTGATTTGATTGATCCAAACTTTATATATGATTTCTCCCTCCCAGTTCCCAATCTTCGTTTGTTGTTGTTTATACGTTGTTTCGTCTCACCAAATAGATCCTGGCGAATCAGGATTTCACGGCTTGCTCGTCTCGCTCCACATCGCGCATGACTTTGGATTTGCAACAATCGCAATCGATGCCGATGTGTCGACCAAACGAGAGCTCCACGATCGCAATAGTTTTTCAACCAATCCAAACTTTATATCCTTGGGACCCTCGCGCCGATCAATCAAGCAGTAGACTTCACGGATCGCGACAAACAATCTAAACTCTTTTGCCCTAACCCTAACTACCACCCATTTCGAAAACGGGCGCCTTTATCGAAATGTCTGCCAACTTTTAAGGCCGGGCATATGCAATGGTTATGGAAGTGATGGAGACTCGAGTGTACGAGATCTGGAATTGACACCCCAAAAAGTTCTTTAAAACCAATCCTCTCGCAAAGGAAAGAAAAGGCCCTGGACCTTTTCTTCATGAATTCGCTCATCGGTTTGCTCTTGCTTTCCATCCTGACTATGGTGGACGTGATCCATTCCTCTTCTTTTTCTTCTTTGTCTTCTTCGTTCCTGGATCCACAAAACGCTGCAAGAGCTCGAGTCGGGGTCGCCCCCCTCGTCTGGGACGATCGCCTCGCGGCCTTCGCGCTCGCCTGGGCGAACTCGAGGAGGATCTTTGGAGCCTGCTCGCTCCAGCACTCGCGAGGCCCCTACGGCGAGAACATCTTCTGGGGGAGTGGCGGCGCTGGGCGGAGCTGGAATCCATCCGACGCTGTCGAGTCGTGGATGAGCGAGCGGCGGTGGTATGACTATGGCACAAACTCTTGCCTTGGCGGCCGCGGTGCCTGCGGCCACTACACCCAGGTGGTGTCGAGGTTCTCGCGCCGGGTTGGCTGTGCTCGAGTCCAGTGTGGCCGTGGAGACGTGTTCATGGCGTGCGACTATTTCCCTCCTGGAAACAATGGCCAGAGACCATTTTAACAAAATGCATCAGTACAAAGTTGAAGTGGTAGTAGAAAAGTAGCATCGCAAGCGTAGCGTGTTTCTTCTTTCCCAAGTCGTAAAGCTGTGATGGATGATGGATTAGTCAATACGTTGCTCCCGGGTTGTAGCCTCGGAGGCTCGCTTTGCTGCCGCTCTGATCGTAGCCGCTGTGGATAAATTCTGGGAAGCCATAGCCGGCCATTCCGTAAGAGCCAGTGAGAAGGAGCGGGCACTCACGGGAGTAATGGCCCTCTTGGCCGCAAGTGAAACACGGACGGCCTCTCGCGTAGTTGCTGTTTCGGCAGTCACGAGAGAAGTGGCCGATCTGTTGAAAACGATATATCAACTAGAGTGTCGAAAGAAAAGGAAGAGAACTTTTACCTCGCCACAGGTAAAGCACTGGGTTAGATTCGCTCGTCCCCTATAGCCGCCGCTCCAGCTCTCGTAGTTCGATGACCCTAGCCGGACTCTGGAGGAGAAGCTGATGCATCCGTCTTGAGGTTGCTCCGCGAACACGAGATCGCCGCGCTGCTTCTTGTCGTACGAGCGTCGGATGCCTCCGGACTGAGCAGTCTGAACGGCGAGTCTCTGGAGTTGATACCATCTCTTTAAGTGCTTCCGAAGATCAAAACAAAAGAACAAAAGCTTGCCTCGAATGAGTTGAGTAGACCCTCGAGCTTCCGTTGCTTGATGATCACGTCCTCCTTGAGAGTCTTGAGCTTGACCGGATCAACCTCGGCTTCCAGCTCCCGGCGAGCAGAAGCAAGCTCGGCTTCGGCCGCTCTTTTCTCCTCGCGTTGCGGTTCAGTTAGTATGATCTAAAACATCAAAGAAAGATGTTAGGTGCCACAAAGATAGATAAAAAACCAAGTTCTTCGAAGTTCCTGAGAAAAGCGCGAACGAAAAAAAAGACACTTACGCTGCCTTTCCATTCCTTTTGTGCTTGCTCCTTGAAAACGTCCTCCTCCTTCTTTCCTTCGCGCTCCGCTAGGACTTGTTCCCTTGGACGAGCAGCTCCAAACGGGCTGGGCTACACACAGTCTTAAACGAATCCTCTTTTAGACGATGCAAATGTAAACAAACACAGGGAGAGAGAGAGAGAGAGAGAGAGAGAGAGAGCGCGAGAGAGAGAGGGGGGATCAAATCAAACGGACCTTGTTGGCGTATTTCGCTCCCATCCCAGCAAGATCCGCCACGGAGCTCCTGGGCTGCAAGTTTAGCTTCGGCCTGACCACCGAGCTCTCGATCTCCGCGGCGTAACTCATCCCCACTGAAAGCGCCAAGATCAGGCCGATGGATCGATCGATGCGAAAGAAAGCGGTGCACTTACACAAATGGATGGACCGATCGATCGATGCCCACTCCCGCGCTGCCCTGCCGCTTGCCCTTCCCGCCTTGATCAATGGCAGCCAAAATTTCAAACCGGAAAATCCAAACAAACGCCACAGCCACGTGGCCCTCTCCCGCCCGGGTGGCCGGCTCCACGTCGGTCTCATCTGCCACATCAGGCAGCCCCGGTACGGCGCCGTACGTCCGACGTGGCAATTTTTTCTTTTGTAACTGGGCTTACTTCACAAGCCCTACCGAGAGCTTGTTTGGCGGGCGACGACGACGGCGGCGCTTGGCGGCTTGGATCCTGTTCCTCACGGCGGCATCCAGGTACGCCCACATTGCTTTCCATGGATTCGCGAGATCGAGCAAGGCGCTAGCGCGAGAGAGAGGGAGAGGAAAGGAATTCGGGGTAGGGTTTGGATGAGAGAGGGGAAGGCATGGAGATTTCGAGCTCGTGAGCGGTAGCTAGAGCAGCAGGGTTAGGGTAAGAGGGGCGGGGGAAAATCCGCAGGCACAGTGTGTGACTGGAAAGAATTTTGGCTGGAAGACTGTCAGTGATGGCTGCATTCACTGCAGGTGTACGAGGAACACGGGATCCTAGCGACATGACCGACTTCACGGCTAACTGGCACTTTGGGAGCGACAGAAGGGGTGTGTCCCCTTCACCCTCTTTGCCTTTGGAGTTTCTTTTCCATCTTTATTTTATTTCCTCCTCCTTTTTTCTTCTTGCCGATCGTTTCGTTTTTCTTAGCCTTTGTCTCTAGATTTTTCCTGTTTCTGTGAGACTGTAGAGAGGTTAGGCCGCTTTAGAGCTCGTTCTTTTTTTTTTCTTCTTTATGTTTTCTTTTTTTTTTTCTGCTACTTTTGTACTCATGAGCTTTTTTTTTTTTTTTTGGTTTTTTTTTTCGGCTTTGGTTTTTGCAGAGGATCTTACGCCCTCGAAAAGCAGTTATGGCACATCAAGAACTGCTGCTGGAGGTTTACGCGACCTCGGTGGCTACAGCTCCAGGGACCTCGCGTATGAGGACCTGGCTGCCCATGCTGCTTACGATAGTCTTGGTGCCGGCTCTTCGCTTTTGAGAAATGGGGTATGCCGAAACTGGATTCCTTCGTCATGTCTGAACATTCTTTTTCGTTTTTCTTTGTCACAGCTTTACCAGGGATTAACTACATCCGAGCTTGTTAGTTTGACCACTGGAACCGGTGGTCTCGGCGTATTAGGGGCATCCGGTTTGGGGGGTGTCCTCGACGATCAGACCCTCCTCAGTCAAGGAGCACGGCTGGGTGCTTATGATTTTGCGTTAGGAAGACTCGGGTTACCAGGGCCGCAGGACCAAGATGTTCTTCGTGGCGGACCTGATATTTTACCCCCCGAAGCCTCAGCTACACTTTTTGTCGATGGGCTTCCTATAGATTGCACTCGACGTGAAGCCGCACGTGAGTAAACTTTTTCTTCCGTTTGTTCTCATTCTCCTCTCCTCCTCTTTTTGGTTTTACTGAGTCGCTTCTGTTCTCAGATATCTTCCGTCCATTCATTGGTTTCAAGGAAGTGCGAGTGGTGCACAAAGATGCTAAACGAGTGTGTGAGCTTTTGTTTGGACCCGTGCACGAGTCTAACGTTTTGTTTTCTGTGTTTCAGGCGGTAGGAGAGAAGATCGTGCTATGTTTTGTGGAGTTCGCCGATCCCAGGTGCGCAGCGACGGCTTTAGAAGCATTACAAGGTTCGTCTCAGCAGATGGAATCTCTTCATGAATCGGTGTGTGACCACTCGATATTCGTTTTACGCAGGCTATAAGTTCGACGAGAACGACCCCGACTCTTACGTCCTGCGCTTGACGTTTGCGCGATATCCAGGGCCTAGAGGCGCGGGTGCTCGAGACAGGTCCCCTTATCGCGGCCGGGACCGGTCACCACGACGGGATCGAAGGCACTAAAGCGGCAGAGTTAAAAGAAGCGAGACAAAAACAAAAAAGACCGAATCGAGTCGAGGAGGATCAAGGGGAGGTAAAAAAAAACGCCAAAAAAAAAGAAAAAAGAAAAACAGAAAAACAACAAAAAAACTGACAAGATCAAGGATCAAGCAAGGTAGGAGGAAACTTTTATAGGTGGGGGAGAAGCGCGTGGTAAAAAAAAAGGTGCGCAAAGAATTTGCTCGGCCGAGTTTACTAACAACATCACAAGCAAGCAGCCTGTTGAGAAAGCAAGGCCAGTTTGGGAGAAAGATTTTTTATACATACTGGAACGCTGAGCGAAGAACCGAGGCACACTAGTACTCTACTACAACTACTACTACTATACACACGCTACCGTGTATCTATTTCCTGGAAGAAGAAAATGGCCCTCTCCAAGGAGGTGCTGGCTCTGGGTTAGACGCTATTATCATCATCGTGCTTTTGGATTTCGCGATTTAGAAATCGTTGTCACAGTTCAAACAATGAAACTCTCTTCTCTTTTTTTTTTTCCTTTTGTTTTCGTTTCGATAATTCTTAGCTTACTCGCCTGGATGATCGCTCTTCTCCAAGACCCATGGAGCTTCTCACGTCGCGGATTCCTCTGGGATCTGGAACAAGGAGAGCAAGTGAGAATCTTTGGACTGGCAAGACGAAGTTACCGAAGAACTGCGTGAAAATCCGGGAGAAGAAGCCGAGGTTGAGAGCTACGTTCTGGGCGATTTGCGGAGGTAGAGGCCTGAGGAGCGTCTCAATGCTGAAAGTCCTCCGGAGGAACTGTCATGAGAGATTGAGAGCTTGATGAAATCTCTTGTCCCTTGTCTCTCCTTCTCACCTGGAAATTCCTGCTGAAAGCAAGGCGGAGCTCCGGATCAATCTCGTCCATGAGCCCGTCCTTGGCGGCGGCGTCGTCGTCCATTCCAGCTCCTCGCTTTGGCGCGTACATCATCGCTGTATTGCCGTGCTCGTGCGTCGCCCGCATTCCCAGCTTCTCGTACTTGTTGCGCTGTGGCGGCGGCTGGCGCCATGGCGGGACGCTATCTTCCTTCTTCCCCATTCTCTTCTTCGAACTCTTCTACCCTAATTCTCTATCTGGATGAGAAAGAAAAGAATTAAACCACCCTGTGTGGCATCTTCTACCACTTGTGCGCCTGTAGCTCAGTGGATAGAGCGTCTGTTTCCGGAGCAGAAAGTCACAGGTTCGATCCCTGTCTGGCGCGACAACTTCTTTATTTTTTCTTCTACCCTTAAACCCTAAATTATTTTGTGCTGCTGCTTCTCGAGAAATGCGGCGCTTGAAGGGGCATTCTTCGTCAATTCTTTGCTGCGCTGCCGCCTCCGGTGATGGATCGGCAGCTGGATTGGTGTCCGGCGGCGAGGTAAGGTTGTCTTCTTTGTGTTGCGATCGAATTTTCTCTGGAATTGTCCTCTCCAGGACGGGCGCGTGTGCGTCTTTGATTTGCGTGGTAGCAACGAGGCCAGTCAGAAATATTCCTTCTTCGATGGACTGCCTGTGCCGTCTGTGTGCTACAATCCAGGTGCTGTTAAATTCTTTCTAGTCCCTCGTCTTGTATAATTGACTTAGTTTTTTTTTTTTTTTTTGTTCTCGCAGTGGATATGAACCTCGTTTACGCGGCAGCGGGATCATCCATTTATTGTTTCGACCTTCGGCTGGTACGACGAATGTTTCTTCGTGAATCCATTCGTGACTGACCTCTTGTTTTGTTTCTTTCTCTTCATTGTCGTGGAAGGGTTCCTCGGCAGACGTCATAGCAAAGCACACGATCAATGCAGATGATATCAATCAGGTCGAGCGTGAATTCTCAAACTCACATTTCCAAGTCTGATCTACGCTTTTATTTTCAGCTGGCGGTCAATCGAAAGGCTACGTTTTTGGCAGCCTCGGATGATAGCGGAGAGACCAAGGTTTGTTCTTCGAACTTTTATTTGCATTCACAGACTTGACCTTTTCAAGTTTATAGATCTTGGACCTTAAGAACAACAGGACGTTCAAAACTTTGCGAGGTCATACAAATGTATATTGGAGACGATTTCTTTCTGCAGCGTGGTTTCTTCACACACTCTTGTCACGTAGATCTGTAGCGCAGTGCAGTTTCATCCCCTGAGGCCGTGGGAACGTAAAGCAGCTTAGTTTTGTAAACTTTTGCTATAACTGGATTATACAGTGGTAACGGGAGGACTGGACTCGAAGATGATCAAGTGGGACTTCAACCGAGGAAAACAGCTTGCTGCTCTTGATCTTGGTGAGTGCTGATCAGTTTCTGGCTGGCTTGAAGAGGTTTGCTTTGGTTTTCCAGGATGTGTATCAGATGCATCCAAGCAGATCTTCAATCCTCCATTCGTGCATGCATTAGCATGCCCACAGCGGGAAATCTCCGGTGAGCTCGGAAGGACTGTGGCTGTTGCGCGCGGCGATGGCGGGACAGATGTTTACGATCTTAATGGCCCAGCGAAAAGGGATCCATCGCAGGGTCTCGCCAGAAAATGCAGCCTAGACGTGGATCAAGGAGGCCATACGGCACCAGTGTCTCATGTGTAAGTCCCTACGTTTTCTTCTCTTATTTTTCATGTTGTTTAACGATTCTCCGTTGCAGGAACTTTGCAAGTTTTGACGAGTCCGGAAGGACAGTAATCTCAGGTGGTAACGATTCAAGCATTAAAATCTGGGACTGGACCGCTTGCGAGCTCAAGCTTTCACTCAATCACAATAGAAAGGTACGAGACTTTCGGAAAATACAGTTCGTTGAAAATGCGATTCCAGGTGAATTGGATGACAACAAGAGCGAGCTCATCAGACAATCTTATCGTTGCTGACACATCCAAGTTCTTAAGAGTTTACAGCGTCCCTGTGTAAGGTTGGGCCGTCCCTTCTTTCAATCTTAGATCATGGTAAAGTTGATGCATTTGGTTTACAACATTTACACTCACTGTAGTCGTCGAAGATCATGAACTTTCGACTCCAGAAAGAAGATGAAGACCTTTTCAAGCTCGCAGAAGTAACTAGGGTTCTTGCATTCTACAATGAGAACCGTTTGGTTCGTATTCGCGCCACTGCTACTCGTCCAGGTATGTTCGTTTTACTTTCACCACCTTCCTATTTCTCAAGCGTAGTGTTCTCAGGCGATCTCCGTCAAGCTCAAGGAGACATCAGACACCCTGGAAGACGAACTGGGGTAAAAAAAAATATGAGAAAATAAAAAACGTAGCTCACCTCTCATCTTGGTTTCTCCAGCTACAAGTTCAATGACTCCACGTTACTCCAGGACGCGCTCACGCACTCGTCCTACTCTCGCCACAACAATGGCCCCCTGCATTTGCTAGGCGTGAGCATCATCCGGGCCAGCGTTTACAAGCATTACCTCGCGAAGAACCGAGATGCCACCAAGGAAGAGCTCGAGGCCATGTCATCCAGCCTCTCCAGCACCACGGCCTGTGCACGCCGCGCCTCTGGCCTCGGCCTCGACAAGCTCATCAGGGCCGACGTTCCGGTCGATCGAAAGTCGGACAAAGTCTTGGCTGTCGCGTTTCATGTGCTCTTTGGAGCCATCGCGATGGATGGCAGCGCGGACCAAGCCATGTCTGTCTTCTGGAAGATCAAGAGCTCAGCGGTGATATAAGCTATCTGTAGTTCCTCTGATTTCCCTTCTTAGCTGAAAGGAAGAGCAGTGAGTTCTCAGTATGCTCTTTCTTAGCGTTGTCTCTTGTGTGAAAGCCTGAAAGGAAGATCTGTGAGTATACAAGTTTCAAGCTCTTCTACCAGTTTGTCGACGTGGTTTTGATGCCTGTGCTTCCGTAGATGTTTCCCATCAAGGAGTAAGCCGCAGCGCTTGCCTGGTCCAGCTCCACTAGAGCATCGAAGGCCACTTTCGCCACCACCACGTTGTTCCATTTGGCACACGCGGCCAGCAGAGTCCTCCAAGCAACGGCATTGGCTTCGAACGGCATGTTGCGGAGCATCTCTAGCGCGGCCTCCAGCTCGTTTGCACGGCCATAGATGTCGATCATGCACACGTAGTGTTCCAGAGTGGCTCTCACCCGGTACCTCGGGAGCATGAGCTCAAAGTACTTCTTCCCCTTCTCCACGAAACCGGCATGGCTGCACGCGCTGAGGAGACACACGAACGTAATCTCGTCCGCTTGAAAGCCTTCCCGCTGCATCGCGTGGAAGAACTCGATCACTCTCTTGCTGTCTCCCTGGCGGCTGTAGCCTGCTATGAGACTTGTCCAGGTCGGTGGATCCAGTCGGGGAAGCGCATCAAACAGCTGCTGTGCCTCGACCGCTCGTCCACATTTCCCGTACGCATCCACCAGTGATGTCTCCAAAAACTCGTCGTCCTCTAGACCGCCTTTGAGCTTGTCCGCATGAATGGCTTTCACAGATGCCAAGGCCACGGAGCTGCCACAGGTCTGGAGTGCGGCAACAAAGGTCTGAGCATCTGGAGAGCATCCGGCGTCTCGCATATATCGGAACAACTCCAGAGCCACATCTCCTTCTCCAGTTTCTGCATAACCAGAAATCAGAGCGGTCCAAGAGACAACGTCATGCAGAGGTAACCTGTCGAAAACGCGGCGAGCGTCGGCCATGCTCCCACAGCTTGTGTAAAGGTCGATCAAGGACCCAGCCACAAACATGTCCGTATCCAAACCGCTGGCGGCAGCTCGAGAGTGTAAAGCCATGCTTTTTTCCAAAGACTCAACTTTTATCCTCCTCCCATCCAGTTGCAGGCTTCTCTCACCTTCTGCCAATCCAATGCAGGCCTTCAACACGTAAACATAAGTTAGAGCATCCGGTAAGAAACCTTTGAGTTGCATACCTGTAAAAAGCTCGAGGACCAGTGTCAGATCCCCGCTTTCCACGTACCCTGCCATTAAGGCGTTCCACGACACGACAGTAGGCTGTAGCATCCTGTCGAAGACTATCCTGGCATCCAGCATGCTCCCACACTTGACGTACATATTTATCATGCTGTTGGAGACAAAGCTGTTTGAGTCGCAAGCATGTCTTTTAGCTTGATGGTGCATAGCCATGCCTTTCTCCACAGATTGGACTTTGACAACCTTTCCGTCGATCAGCGTGCCGGCTTCTTTCTCTGCCAAACATATACACCCGTTTAGAGCAGCAACAAAAGCAAAGGAATCCGGAACACAACCTTGAGCCTGCATCTGCTCGAAGAGCTTGAGGACGAGCTCGCCATCTCCGTGCTCGCCATAGCCGATCATCATTGCAGTCCACGAGACAGTGTCGTGGCGAGGCATGCTGTTGAAAACCATGCAAGCGTTGTCCATACTCCCACACTTGGCATACATGTTTACCAGGGTGCTGGCAACGCAAATATCACGGTCCCAGCCGCTCTTGGACGCTCTGGCGTGAACAAAGATGCCTCTCTCCAGAGCGGACGTCTTGACGAGGATCCCATCGATTTGCCTCGCACTCTCTTTCGCTGCCAAGCTCGTGCATGCCTTCAACGCAGCGACAAAGATCGAGGCATCTGCGCTGGAGAAGTCGTCGTCCAACTCGACGATACGTTGGAAGAGTTCTAGAGCCGACTCCCCCTGGCCGTTCTCGGCATAGCCCAGCATCACAGAAGTCCACGAAACCACACTGTGAGCCGGCATCCCGTCAAAGACCTGTCGGGAATTCTCCATGCTTCCACACTTTGCGTACATGTCCACGAGAGAGTTGGCCACAAACGCGTCCATCACTGCTCCAGAATGGACTCTACTTCCCTTCTCTAATGCCCGGACTTTCACCAGCTTTCCATTCACTAGCGTTCCCTGTTCCTTCCCTGCCAGAGAGCTACAAGCCTTCACCGCCGCGAGAAAAGTTCTTGCATTTGGACGGGCATCGCCCCCGCAATCCTTCATTCTCTCCAGCAATTCCAGAGCCAGTTCTTCTTCGTCGTTCTCGGCACACCCGAGCGCCAAAACGTTCCACGAGATCACGTCTGGCGCTGGAATCCCCTCGAAAATCCTGCGAGCGTCGCCCATCCTCCCGCATTTCGCGTACATGCTGATCAGTGTGTTTGCCACACACAAATCCAGCCCCCGCTCCGGCTCGATCTCGCCATGGATCAGCGTACCCGTCTCGAGCTCCCGCGCATTGCCGCACGCCTTCAATGCCGCTAGCAAGATCGATCTCTTGCTGCCATCGCCGCGAAGAGCCCGTTGCGCCCGCACTAGAATCTCCTCCCACGCGCCTCGATGCAGCACGAATCCAGAGCGATGTGGACACTTTCGCATGGAACGGATAAACCCTAATCGAAGAGCCCTAAAAAGGAAATGCCCGCGCTGTTTAAAATACTGTACGGTCTCTTTAATCGGCATTAAATGGAGGCTACGGCTGTTTGTTGCCCTAGCGTTATTTCCAGCCGTCGATCTCTTTCCCGCCCAGCCCGACGATGGAAATATTTCACACTCTCACTCTTCCAGGAGGGCGCAGCAGAGGGCAGGCGTGGCGCAGCGCGGAAAACGATGGCGGCATTTGATGCGATGGCGCCAATGGCGCGGCTGGAGGCGCTGGACGAAGATCAGGTCAGGGTAGCCATCGCATCGCAGCGCATTGGATACCAGGTCGTTTGATCCAGGTTTGACGATTCGGTGAGGAGGAAGCACGGCACACGGATTAGGGTATAGGGTTTTGGAGAGAGCGAGCGATCGAGAATGAACGGGCGCCATTGCTACGCTGAGCTCATCCTCCTGGCACAGAACAGGTACCAAAACTTGGCTTTGTCTCTTCCTTTATGGCTCATTCTCTCCGTTATTATGAATGGGGCAAACAAAGGCCAGGGCAAAGCATACAAGCCGAGTCAAAGCAGAGGCGCTGGCTTGTGAATGGATTTACTGTTTCTTCGGTGCTGGCCTTTAAACTTCCACAGCATAGGAATAGAGGAATAGAGGAATGCTGCTGGGCTCTCTCGCTGATGATCGGAGATAGAGTTTGTTAAGCAGTGACCACTATCGCAGGGGCTCAAGTTGGAGTTGTACTGGATAGTATTCTGGAACTGGAACGCGGCAGGGAAAGTTTTTTTCTTCTTTTTCTGGGGAGGTGGGAGCCATGGCTACCGTAGCAGCGACAGAAATCGAGACTACTGAGGAGCTGGGGGGAACAGGAGCAGGCAACGATATCAAGCTTTGCAAGAAAGTCATTTACCATACTTTGGCAAGCGGCAAGTCCGGTCCTCTCGACCCAAGCGCTGCAGCAGCGAGCAGGGAAAAAATCGATGTGAAGAGAAAACCGTTTGTGGAGCAGCATTGTGGCAGCCGGGGACAGCTTATCAGCATTCTTCGCTTGGACAGCGATCACCAGCATCCGGCTGATCGATCTGTTTGCAAGAAACTGAAGAACTTTGCCTTTGCTTATGCGACCCAGTGGACGAGAGGTCTCGACTTCCGGATCATCTTCGCGTCGCATTTAATCTTCTGGACGAGCTTGCTGCCGGCTATCGCGTTTGGGAGCTGGCTGCAAGTGGAAACTCATGGCAGTCTCGGCATCACGGAAGTTCTCGTCTCGACATGTTTCTGCGGACTGGCTGTGGGTATCCTTGGTACGCAGCCACTGATGGTCGTCGGAGTGAGTGTTCCATCGATAATTTTCATGGTCGCTGCTTCTCGGACTGCGGAGCGACTTTCGCTAGATTTTCTTCCCTGGCTGGCCTGGATCGGACTGTGGTGCGCATTGCTGCTGTTCTTCCTCGCTACCAGCGGTGCTTGTCGGCTCACAGCACATCTTACATTTTTTAGTTGGGAGATTCTGAGGCTTTTCATCGGGTTCAGCCTGCTCTGGATCGGGGTTACGGAGATAGTTCGGTTCTTTTCTGCTGCTCACTCACTGGAGGCTTCGATACTCTCACTCTGGCTTGCTACCTGTACTCTCGTCTTGGCGGTGGTACTGAGTGGAGCTCAATCCTGGCGGTGCCTCAATGGACAAGCTCGTGAGCTCATCCAGAATTATGGTCCCGCTTTAACATTTCTCGTCTTCACAGGTATGTAATTTTTGTTTCTTTTTCCTTTCAATTTCTCACTCACTCATTTCGTTGCTCCGTTGGTTGTAGTTCTTCCACTCCTCCCAAAGTTTCAGCACATTCAATTCGAGCGAGTGGACATGCCGGACTTTCTCTGTCGGACCGACAATCTTACAAAGCTAGGAACTCTAGTCCGGCTGAAGAGTGTTCCAATGTGGGCTATTCTTCTCGCATTCATCCCAGGAGCTCTCCTGGCTTGCATGATCTTTGTAGATCACAACGCGGGTTCCGTGGTGTTAAAGGTGAGCCTCTGTTACGTCTGTTCGCTTTGGTAAAGCGTGTTTTGCCCCTGGCAGCATGCAAATGGCTACGTTCTTCCGGAAAAGACGCCAGGGAGTTGGGACCTCTTCATTATAGCCGTGCTTGTTTGCTCCTGCAGTATTTTTGGGATTCCTTTCTGCTATGGTCTTTCTGCACAGGTATGTAGCCTTTTCTTTCCTCGTTTATCATCAGAAACCACACATGCTATTCTGCTTTTAGTACAGAGTATTGCCCACAAGCGTGCTTTAATTTTTCACGTCAACGTTCGTGATGAAGAAGGCCAGCAAAAGTCTAAAGAGGTCATCAAGTCGCAGCGCATCTCTGTGGTGATCGTTTCTATGCTGTGTGGGATACCGTTTGTCCCTGGGATCGATCTTTTACTAGAAAAAATTCCACTTGGAGTGATTGCGGGGATGTTTCTCGAGGTAGGCATGTTTCGTGCTATTTTTTCTTCTTTTTACGCGCTTGTTTGTGATCTCCAGATGGCATACTCGTGTTTGAAAGAACTAAAGGCTATCAAGAGGCTCAAAGTGTTTTTTACTGTTTCTGACAGTCGTAATCGGTCTTCGCTCTGTCAAAGAAGGATCTACTGCACAACCCAGATGGTTTGCGCATTGGTCATCTTCACAACAAGCAGGACTCCAGCAGCTTTGGTCTATCCAATATTCGTTCTGCTCGTGATCGGCTTTCGTCACTACGCCTTGCTGAGTATATTTACGGCATGCGGCCTGGCTGCACTCGATTCGCCTCTCAGCTCGGGTGGAACGATTTTGGAATATCAAGAGTCTACGAAAGCAGAGGTGCAGCCTAGCTCAGCTCTAGTTCGAACTAAAGCCGTGGAGATTGAAAGCAGTAGCTCACCGCAGTCTCGGGGAAGTCCGTCGATGCTCATTATGCCGAGTAGCAGGAGGCTGAAAGAAAGATCTCGCAGACGTAACAAAAGAAAGAGACAGACATCAGGATCAGCGGCGAGAACTGAAGATGATCGTGACGATGGGTCCAGAGAGATTAACCAAGTGCGGTCCTTCTCCCAGCAGGCTTCCAGTTTCGACCATTCACGGGCCGGTGAAGCTGCCGAGTTCAACAAGGACAGTACTCGTGCTTTTGGACGTTCCAAGAGAAGAGCTCTAAACATTGAGCTGCATTCCAACCTCTTATACGACCACGGCTGGCAGAATTCATTGACTTTGCTACATGAAGATGCTGATCTGGGGGACGTCCACTCTGTCACACAAAGCCCAGCGACTTACGAGTCTCCTCATCGACCTTCTCCTGCAAGTTCGCAGCTGAATGGCCATCACAATCACCAGCAGAGCTTGGAGTGTGTCAAGACGAACTCTGACGGCGGCGCCGGGGCTGGGTGCGGCAGTAATTCAAGTCACTCATCGTCTCACTCTAGGAAGAGGAAGACGGTACCTTTGACGAGTGCCGGCTTCAGCACGACAGAAAATCCATGTTTTATGCAAGATCGGGACGACAGCAACTTAGTGCCGGCAACAGGCCGAGAAACTGTGCAACAGAACTAAGGTAAGGTGTCTTTTCGCGTTCAGTTTTCCTTGCTCATTTTTGTTTCTTCATGGCAGGATCTGATTTGACTGAGACGGCTGGCAACCTTGTACTTGTACAGTACAGATTGTGCAATGCCAAGGTGTAGACTTTGGTGCCGGCTGAAGTGGTGGTTCTGCTGCTGCTGCTGCTGCTGCACGGACTCGGGTGACACTTTTCCCGCACAAAAGATGAATGCCAATTCAATTCTCGTGATTGTATCACAAACGCGGCGTTTGCTAACCAACTTTCTTTCTTTTTTTCAACTTTTTGCTTTTAGCACAGAAGCTCGTCTATCAATGCAAGTTGTACCTCGAAGTTTCCTGATGGCAAGCTCTTCCAACAGCAATAGCTATCGCGAGCTTGAGGTGATTGTTTTTTCATCTGCATCTTTGCAGGGAGTAACTGTTACCCTCGTGCAGGATGGCGATGATGGAGAAGAGGACGATCGCCAGAGCCTTTTACTCCTCAGTTGGAACTCTACTACGATCCATCTTGCAGAGTTTGCAACGTTACCGTTTCTTTTTCTGCAACTCCCTCAGATCATTCTCAACGCTCGGAACTTGATTGCTGGGAACTACGAAGCATTGTCAGCAGTGCAATGGATGGTAGCCTCGGACGTAAAGTCTCTTACAGGTACTGAGATACAGTATTTCTTGCAGGGACAATTGACGAGCTTGCTGGGAAATCTCTCGCTACTTTCATATTTTGCTGGACGACGTGAGCGAGGTGCCATGGCTGTTCAAGCGGTTGGCGTGCTTACGACTTTGGTGGTTTTGATCCAACTTGGAATAGCAGGCGCAATGCCTTCCCTGGCTTTGGCTGGAACAGTGATCGCAGTGGCCTTTGGTTTGCTGCTCAACCTTTTAAACTACCTGCTACTTCTACGTGAATGGTTGTGGAAGATCTGGGAAGCAGTGATCAGTGTTGGTGGCGCGACCGTTCTCTTGCAGGTACTCTTGCTCTTGTTTTTTTTCTTTTTTTTTCTTTTTTTTGCTTGATAATGCTGTTACAGGTGATGTGGTCTACGTTCGAACCTCACATTCCACACACCATTCTTCCAGCCGTGATAACTGGTATCGCAACACTCACTTTAGTGGCAATGGTAACACGAAGCTTATCTGCAATAATTTCAATGTCTTCCATTCTGCAGGATGCTATCGGTTTCTTGCCTCAGAAATGGTCAGACTTCTTGGTTGCTCTTTCGGCATGGACTGCAACCTTGCTCTTCATGTGGACGCCGGTGGCTCAAATGGTACTGTAAAATGTAAAACACATCTCTGGAGTATTGACAGGCTTTTTGATGAACTATGCAGTTCCAGAATTTTATCGACCCCGAGAACATCAAGGGCTTGTCACCCTTAACAATTCTGCTGGCCATGATTGGCAATGGACTTCTCGTCCCTCGGGCTCTATTCACCAGAGATCTCATGTGGTTAGCATTCGCTATTCGTTCTGTTTTTTATTCTCTCTTGCGGAGTTTTCGTTTGATTTCCAGGTTCACAGGTGCGGCTTGGGGGACTTTGTTTCAAGGTTGGGGACTACTTCTAACGCTTTGGATGTGAGAAGTTTGCTCTCTTTCTTTTCTCTTTTCGTTAACGCTTCTCGTGATGTCTTTCTTGGTTGGTTGCAGAGCTCGTGCTTTGAGTGGTACAGTTTTTGGGACAGTCACGGGATTACTCACAACATGGCTGGGTAAATTTCTTCTTTTCTTTCGTTTTACAATTGTAAGGTTTATATTTCAAAGCAGGATATGTGATGCAAAAAGACTCCACCGCATATGCATTGAAGTGCTCGCTGTGTCCCTTGCTGGAGCTGTGCCTTGGTAAAAGAATGCCAATTTAAACAAAGAAGCGGGTGTGTGACTGTATGGAAATTGATATTAAATTTAACGTCCTGTGTAAAAGAAAAACGTATTCTACGAAAAACAAGCCATTATAATTACTTTGATTATAAATTTAATAAATTATAAACATGTTTATCTATAATAATAAACATTCAACCTCTGTCCGATAGACCTGAGGCTGGTGGTTTTAAGAAAAATGTGAAAGGTGTTTATAAACAAATAAATAATTAACATACCCTAGTATTCTATTTTAATTCTAAAATACATTTATCTAGTCTTATTCAGTGGTAGTGGCACTGTGGTAACTTCAAATGATCCAACTCGAGTCTTAACATATGGCAAGCTCTCTAGGTGCATATAACTGGACAATAACCACTATACGACAAAACCCGATGCCTCAAGTTATGCCTCAAATAAATGCTGTCTAAATTGAAATACTATACATTAATTTGGGACATTACTATACCTTATATGGCTAAATATTGTATAGCAGTTTCTTTATTTCTATTTATTGCTTCATATAGCTATGCATTTTTACAGGTGAGTGAGAAGTTTTAAAATTTTAGTTATTAATATGGATTTTTTATTAGTGTAAATATGGGCTAGGCATAAAAACTGGTTGTGAGAATAATGCAGGAACAGATGCAAATATTGATATTTCACTTATATTTTCTTCTGGAACAATACTAAAATTTATAGATATTGATGATGATTCTAATAATTTTGAAACATGTCATAGTGATTTCTTTTATTATACTAGAGAATGTCCTTTACAAAATGAAAAGTTATGTGAAATAAAAATACATCGAGATAATGATGGGCTATATCCTAATTGGCTTCTTGATAACCTTCTAATTTTTGTAAACCAGAATTTAATTGCAAGTATAGACATCAAAGCATGGATCAATAATGAGAAAATAATTAATTTATGTAATGATGAACTAGTATGATCATATAAGTACTATAATGATGTTTTAATATTTTTCACATTAATTCATCTATATAACCTTTATCATTAGCAGCATATTATTGTTACAAGCATGATATTTTCATTTACTAGATCAAAAAGACTCAAAAAATTTGAGTGCAAGCTTGGGCATTTGACACATATCACAGAGTTTCTATGCTCAATTTAGCTTTATTTTAGCTAACATTATTTGTATATATTAAGGTTTCCTATAATTTCTTCTCTCTATTTCTTTTGTGTTTCTTTCACTTTTCCTTGTACTGATTCTTTCATGGTATGATCGATTAGCCGGATGGAATCGTCTTGAGATTCAGAAGTTAATCACCTCCAGCTTGCAACCATCACAAAACAAGAGCTCAATGAAATAAGTAACCTCGAAGTAACGGTTTACACATTTAAGCAATCAAATGTAGCTTAAATATACCCCCTGCCCAAACACTTTGTCAACAAGGAAATCACACACATGTAAATGCTACGGTTACCTTTGTTCCGATCAACGGCGAGCTCTCCAATCTGTTGCCATGTCATCCCACGCTTTGAAACAGCCTCCACCTCTAGAAAATTCAACAAGTAGAAATCAATAAGCACACATATATACAGAAAACTCTTCTCTTCACCTGCAAACGTTCCACAGGCCGCAGGTCTAATACCAAAGCTGGCCTCTGAATACTTGCTGGCACAACTTTGCTTCAACTTCTTGCTGGGCGTGTTAACATTTGGGACGGCTGCGAAGTCGGGCACCCAAACAAGCAGCTCCATTGTACACAACAAACGTTTCCCAACCAGCTCCCATGTCATGCGTTGGGAATCAAATACGACAACCTGCATCCCTACGCTTAAAACGTAAGATTGCCATTTGTACAGCATATCCTGCTGTCAAACAAAGACACGAAGTTGTGCAAGTGTTTGGGTAATGTTGAGACTTTCCTCCAGCTCCATTCTTTACCACTCGTCCTGTCCAGCACCAAAACCACCTCGTTGCAGCGAGTAACCCAATCTCACCGCCAATTTCGAGCATGTACGTCCAGATGGTTTGATAGGAAGGAAGTGTCCAAATCCCCACTCTGGAGTCGAATAAATAGGGATCAATGGCAATCCTGAAGAACATCGAACCTTCACTCATGTACGGGATCAGCATGAACGACCGTCGACACTGTACTGAAGATTTAAGTGGAGGTACGGTCGTCACCCATTGGTGCGTTAGCGGGTTCCCAACTAAGAAACGTGTCTCGGATGTCTCGTTGATGATGCATACGACAAGAATAGTTCTGAACCTTCCGGTGTAAGCCAAGAGTTCCAACCCTGAGGTGAATCGTCCTGTAGTAGCGAGTTCGCTGTTTTAAAAGTTGTGTGTGAGTTCCTTGCTGCAGCAATAAGAATGTATGTCGGCTGTTTCGGGCCCATAATGCTTTGAACTGTGGATCATGTAACAGGGAAGCCCATTGTTTGCAAACCAAATGCAGCCGCACTATGTCTTCAACTGGTAACCAAGATAGTATATGCATCTGAAGTTCCAATAGTAAGCTTCCCCAGGTCTTCCACCGACAAAGGGAAGAAAATAATTAGAGATAAAAGGAAAGAAATTCAACAACACGTACCTTGAGCGAAGTAGGGCCTTCATTTAGTTTCTTCTGTATGGAGAAGACAATCAATCGTGTTGCCAGGACAGAGGCGCCAACAAAAATACAGAAATGCTCACCGAACCAAAGCGCAATCACACTCTTCCCTTTACACACTGTCAACTCAAATCCCTTTTCCAGCTGAAGAACATTTGGTTGGAAGTAAATTAGATCCACCTGAGAATCGTAGGCTCTACCATCGAATTGCCGAGAACACCCTAACCAATCTTTTTATCCGTGGTGGCGACGGCGGCGGTGGTGGTGGCGGCCGGGCATCGATGCTGCTACTGCTGGGAGAAAGTAAGACTTTTGGCTAGCAACTTGTAAGAAGAACAAACATTTCAATTGCGATCACGCAATCCAGACATCTCCAGGGACAGGTTTTAAAACGAAGAGATCTCTTTCAACAGGATGGATGAAGAGAGGAGTTTTCATGGAAAGTGAGAGAGCTTGGGAACTTACCCAGGGACGAGAGCATCTCCACCATGAAAAACTCGCGTCCCGCTAACCACCGCCAGCAGCGAAGCGAAGCGCGCACAAAAGTCTTTATTTACTTTTTTTTTTCTTTCAGCTTATCAGCAGGTCACCTACTTGGAGTTAGCGAGAGAGGTGAAATCTTTGAGTCTGACTTGCTGCAGGCTCTCGAAAATTTATGAAATGGATTCTAAAGTGTAATCGTGCGTCTTATTTCTCGACTTAGCAGAATTATTCAGTGTAGTTTGAAAGTTTTGGTTACGTTGTAATGTAATGCAAGTTTCGTTGGGATCTTGTTGCACGCAACGACTTCTTTACGCTTTTACAGATTGCATTTCTCCGTGCTCCCGTATGTAACCACGATCCTGTGCAATTTATTCTGGGCCGCCATTCATCAACCTTCTCCTCTTTATAAAGGTCATGAGAGCCCACGCAGGGTATCACTTATGCCCAACTATTGGGTTCCAGGGAACAACGCAGCTAATAAGTCGGACTCTATACAAGGAAGTCTGTGGACAAGCCGCAATCATCCCGAAATATGCCTCCCTCCACGTAGCCTTTATCCTTTTAAAGAATTATCATGGTTTTTGGACAAGATGCTTGAGATTCCGGCCACTGGAGTTGATGTTGCGACCCCGAGTCATCCTCTTGCCCGTCTCCACGATCCTGCTCTATCCAAGGTTTGTGGATGCCTACGACATGACCTTTTCCTGGCGCTACGATCACTGCTGCAGCAATGGAGGGCTGGCACATCGCTACTTCGTCGATCTAATGCTCGTCCACATCCCACCAAAAGGTGATTTGATTACAGCCTAGGGGAAGCTTGTGAATGTAAGAACCACAAGGACTGGAGCCACGCCACTAAAGCTGGCTTGCGTATGTGATCTTCGCAAGTCGAGACAACAGCAAACACTTCCTCCAAAGCTTTTTCTTGGGCGGCTGGTGATGGAAGAGACGCTAGTATGAGCTTGGAGAGCTTCTGCATCAAGTGTGGAAGAACCTGGAAGAGCGATTGAAGAAACTTCGTCAAGCACTGGAAAACTTAGAAGAGAACCTGTATGTCGACGATGAGGAGGAGGTGAAGAAGCAGAGCTCGAATAGCAGCCACGGCTTCGTCGCTAGCAGCTCCAGCGCCGAGGAGGCCAATCAAGAGTTGCGTTTTGGAGACGAGTTGATCGATACAATGGCGGATGGTTACGCTTCCAGCGGGCAAGCAACGGACGATCTCCACTACTCCAGCGACGAGTCCTTCCAGTGGAGTGAAGTCTGGATATCCCTGTACAACTCAAGCGTCAGAAGAAAAAATAGGAAGAGCAAAGAAAATACCTCCATTGCTCTGTTGATATAAAACACTCCAAGCTGCTCCGCCAGAGATCCTTCGCGTGCTGAATCTGCCCTCCGGGACAAAAAGCTTGCGAATAACTGGTGGGCTGCTTCCGCTGCTTGTTTCGATGGATGGCAAACATACCTGAGAAATTTCCGAGTTAAGCGAAAAAACGTCAGGAAAATCAAACTCACAGGAAAAGAATTGGCACGACGCCGCTCTCAACGCTATTATCGTCCAGCTGCTGCACGCACGAAGGGAGGATCCGAAAGTGGAACTGGATCCGACTGGTCTGGACATCGTCAAGACACCAGCTATAATCTGGATTCTCGAGAATAGAACTACCTGCACAAGTCTTTGCATGAAAAAGCACATAAGAAAAAAAAACAATAACGAAGAAAGGAAGTAGAGGTACGTACCAGGCCAGGAGATTACACGCTCGTACGAAGGGAGCAACTCGACAAGCTGCGATGAAGCTCTGTGGCTTCCGGAAACCAGCAGAGCACACTTCTTTACAGTGTCGGTGTACTCATCGACTTGGAAACGCCTGAGGAACTCCACGCAGGAGAAAGAATCCAGAACATAGGCCGCCAGCTCTTCCCGCTCATGCAACATATCCACAGAGCTCGAGAAAAACAGCACTATCGTCAGGAACACTGCCTCCAAAGCCTTGACCAAGTCTTTGCTCTTCTGCATTTCATCCTTGAGCACCTGGTCTTTGGAGAACACCGCTGAGAAGACTCTGTGCCTCTCGTACAGCTTCGACGAGTACTTCCAGAAGAGAGCCTCGATCTGCTGCTGGTAAAAGCTGCTAACTCCTCGATAATGCTCGCAAACTGCGCGTGCTAGCGATCCAACCTCTCTGAACAAAACTCCGCCAGCCTGCGTCTTGAGCGCCTCTAAAGCAGCGACCATTTTGGGGATGCTCAACGACTGTGGCGAATAAATCTGCGAGATGTCGAGGACGTCTCCCAGAAGAACGATCACCAGACAATGCAGAAGCTCCGGCTGTGCCTCCTCAAACTTCCTGCCACTCACCATCGACAACGCAATGCATCTCAGCTGGTGCCGCTGGGTGTCCGAAATCGGCAAAGATCGGTGCTCTTCAATGCATCGCAGTAGCTGCTCGCGAGTAAGTCGGCCACTCTCGCAAATCTCTTGTAGCAGCTGACTTGCTAGAGCTACTATCATAGACTCCAAGCTCTTCTTCAGGGGAAGCAAGCTTGGCTGCCATCTGGATCCACGGAGCAAGCCTGCTGCTATCGCCACCTTCGCATTCCTGACCTCCGGCAGAGCTCCAGAATCACGGCTCACCAATGGTTCGCATAAAGCTTCCAAAACCCGCTGCTCTCTCGCCCAAGCTCCTAAAAACTCGTATAGCTTCGAGAGCATGGCGCAAGAATCTAAAGACGGCCGTGGCTGGAAATCTTTTCTCTCGCCACCTCCATCTTCCAAACTCTCACGATCCACCGGCATCGTCCAGAGAAAAATCAAGCTCCCTGTCATGATAGAAGGCACGGAACTATAATCCTCCCAGGAGCCCATCACCGCATAGCCAACACCAGCCAGGGCCTCCGGCAGTGACGAAGATGTGGCAATTCTCTCCTTCCTTTTGCCAAGCTCTTCGACGATCGCTGCCTGGCATCTCCTCCTCGTCTCCTCGCGGCATTCTCGCGTAGCGCACACTGCCCCTAGCAAAAGGATCGACTGGCAACAAGAGCACGAGCCCACGGCCTCGTCTTGCAAAATCTCGCAGTACGTCCGTGCCACACTGTCCAGCGTCGCGGCAACACTGGCGCTGGCAGTGGAAACTGAGTTAAGAAGAGACCGCCGGACCCAAACGCTGATCACCAGCGCTGCCCAAGCCCACACCGTGCCCAATATCCTGGGATAACTCGCATCCCTTGCCACGGCGAGCATAGAAAGCAAGAATCTGACCTGCGCTTCCCCGACATGCAAGGATTTCTTGTTCTCCGCCAGCAACCGGAGCGATTCTTCTATAATCCCGATCTCCTGGCCAGGCGCGCGTAGACGACTCCATGCCTGGCTCACAGCAGCCGCTGGGACAGCGACGGTGGGGAACCTCGGGGACGCGATCGCGCCCTCAAGAAACTCTATCATTGGCATAAACCCTAGGAAAATGTCGAGTTTCTAGAATATTCAGATATATTCTTGGATATTTGTTTATTTAAACGGTTACTTTTCTCTAATTCGTTTGTAATCAAGGTTTAATGAATATAACTGTGCTTAAGTTTGTGTAGCACATAAACAATTGCTGCCCTAAAAAGTGAACAATTTAACTTCACTAGTGGATATTCTATTATATGGCCAATTGCATGGCAAGCTTTTCCAAAAAAGGCATAAGTATAAAGTCAAAGGGAGTAATGGTGATCTTAATAAAGATATAAAGACCCAATGGGCTTTTCAGTCAAATGCACATGCAATTTCCAGCCATTAATCTATTCACACCAGGATTCAAGAAATTTATTAAAAATTTTCTCTAGCCAAGAAAAGATAGTGTCTAGCTTCTAGAATTCGAAGGTTTTGCAATAGGTTTAAGAATCTTGCATCATTTATTGATGATTTGTTATTTTGTCATTTATATTTTCAATATTGTTTTGAGGATGGTCTTCTTTATTTTGTGAGGATAAATCTTGATGATCATTTATAACTGGTGGTGCTTTTGATCTTTATTCCATGTTTTCTCCATAACTATTATAATTCTTCTATTTTAGACAAGTATGTATGACCAAGAAGCTATGAAATTGCAACTATCCTTTTGCAGCATAAGGGGAAATATTATGAGATTAACACTAAATGCAACTATATAGATACCAAATAATATCACATTGCATCTCCGGCTAATAAAAAGACTTACAATTTCTCATTTGTTTGAGTTGGTGGCATTTAATCTAATAGAACTTTTTCCACGGTCAATTGTTAGCAATGAGTATGTCATTAGTACTTTTAATTACTTGAGTCACTATGTGGAAGTTGGTGCTCTTGCAAGTGTGTATGCCATTGCTATTAAATACTTTCTTCTTAATCAAGTGGTGTTTTAGTATTCCTGTTCGGAGCAAATTCTTTTAGATAATGATCTCGCATTTATAGTTGAAATATTTTATGTCTTAACATTTCGATTAAGGATACACCACACTTTCATGAGTGATTATCATCCACAATCAAATGATTTGGTGGAATGGTTCATTTGAACCTTCAAAGGGATGATTATAAAGTATGTGAACTTTTAGCATTCAAATTGGGATGGTTACTTATTGTCTCTTCGGTATGCATATATCACATAGGTGCAAAGTTTTGTTAGTGCTTCATCATATAAACTCTTATATAATCATGATCTGATATTATTAATGGAGTTGAGTTTACCTTCATGCTTATCATGAATTGTCGATGTTAGGGATTAGTATTTGATGACCATTCTTCCACTTATCTGAGCAGAGTCTACTGAATACCTAAGCCATATATAAGTGGGATAACAATAGCACTACAACTCCCATTATTGTCCACTTATGAAATATAAAATGGATGATTTAGTATTAATTTATTTTCTTAATCTTATGGTATGTGGTTTGTCTAAGGGGCTCCTTGCTCAGTGGAAGGGACCATATTAGGTGTTACAGCAAGTTAGACCACAAGTTTATAAATTTTGGTAAGACATCTAATAAATCAATTTTCCAAAAATTGTGCATATGCTACAGCTAAAATACTTCATGCAAAAGGATTAAGAACAACTAGCACCATCTACAAATTCATTGATGTCACCTCTTAATGTTCTTCTAAATCCTAGCCCATCCACAAAAAAACCCTAATTTTCTTCCATCATTTTGAGGGGATGATATGAGGTTCAAGTGTATAATTACAATACCATATATTAATATTAGTGTAGTGGGATTTTTATAGCTATTAGATTGGTTTTACTCGCTCCTATATATAAACTAGGGTTTTTGGGTTGATTAATATGCACATTTCTATATTCTATTTCCATATTCCATACACTCACAAAAGTAATATATTTTTGTAAATAATATTTATATCATTGAGATGTAATTTCAATTTTAATAATGACTTATATACATCTAGAAATGTAATGTATAATTGTCATATATAAAGATTTTGATGAAGTAGATACCAACTCATATATCCTTTATATTTAGAAATAGCTACACAATTAAATAAATTTCATGAATACATAATTAATGAACAAGTCATTGTGAGATTAAGATAGAATAGAGGAGCCACTTTTGATAACTATTAAAACAGGTAATTGCTAATGGGCTAAGTGTCAAGGGACATTTTAGTTAGATATGACTTTATATTTAAAAACTACATAAAAAAGAGAAATGAGCTCATGAAGTTGCAAAATAAGCATGATGTTAAATAGAGAAGCTTTGAAAAAGCCCAATGTTCCTAGAAGAAGAAAACACCACTTGAAAATCTTAACTTTAAGGCATAGGTGAATAATTCTATTTCTATTTCTTTTTATGGTGTTGTGTTTATTTTTTAATGGTTAATTTTTTAATGTGACAACTTTTTGACACTTTCTTTTAAAAGTAGGAATATTCTATTATAAAGTAAACCATAGTCAAAACATGTAATAATAATTTAATAATGAAAATCACCATAGTGCATCATCTTCTTCTCCAGACGACTGCCTCCATGCTTGTGAGTGTCCATACTGGAATGGAAGGGAAAGTCTTTGTTTCTTTGTTGATGCTTCTTGTATGGACTATCCTTGAATCGTGAATGAAGGTAGTGTAGAATGGTCCGGCTTTTGGAGGGCACTTCCCATAATCGCAAGTCTCCACCCCATGAAACTTGTGGAGTTCTCCCATGCAAATTCAACATAAAATTTGGCAGCTCCTCCACAAGCTTGTGCAGGAGCCTCATGCAGGCACCGAAAGGATTCAACAAAGGTTCGATGTTCTTCAGGATTGCAATTGACCCATATTTGTTCGACTCCAAAGTGGGGATTTGGACACTTCCTCCCTATCAAACCATCTGGACGTTCTCCTCCAACACATTGCACATACAAGGAGTGCAATTGGGTGTTGTAAGCAGCACAGTGCAGTTGTGCTGCTGGAGATTGATGATCTGGGAGCTCTTAGCGAATCGAAGTGGTTGTGGGCCTGGGACATGGACACACTTCCGTCTTTGTCTAGCCCGTACATGCTCGAAATTGGCGGTGAGATTAAGTTACTCGCTGCAACGAGGGATTGGGAGGTCGTGGTTCTGGTGCTGGACAGGAAGAGTGGTAAAGAATGGGGCTGGAGGAAAGTCTCAACATTATCCAAACACTTCGACAAACACTTCCACAAGGAGAGCAGCTTTGTGTCTTTGTTTGACAGCAGGACATGCTGTACACATGGCAATCTCACGTTTTTATGCGTAGGGATGCAGGTTGTGGTATTTGAATCCCAACGCATGACATGGGAGCTTGGGAAATGTTTGTTGTGTACAATGGGGCTGCTTGTGTGGGTGCCTGACTTCGCAGCCGTCCCAAATGTTAACACGCCCAGCGAGAAGTTGAAGGGGGCAGCTTTGATGCCGGCTATGGAATGTTCTCAGGTGATGGAGAAGTGTTCTCTCTCTCTCTCTCTCTCTCTCTTTGAGGTGGAGGCTCTTTCAAAGCGTGGGATGGCATGGCAACAGATTGGGGAGGTCACAGACAAAGGTAACCGTAGCAGTTTCTTGTGTGTGATTTCCTTGGTGACAAAGTGTTTGGGTGTATTTACACTACATTTGATTTCTTAAATAAGGTTCTTTAAAATTATTATTTGAGAAACGTGCTATCGCAAAACTAGTGCTTGTGCATGGGTATTGAATATGCTAAATCCTTGCTAAAGTCTTTGCAATATTTTCACAATTAGAAATTGCCCAATCTTTCCTCCTTTCAACATCCTACCCCTTAATTTTCCCATTCCATTTTTGAGGGGCAAAATGTAAATGGAAAGTAACCTTAAACTAGCATAGATCCTTAACAATTTTACTATTGAAAATTCACATCATGTAAAACCATTAGAATAATTATTAATCTTTTACATTTAGAATTCCAAGAACTTTTTTCACATTTACTAACCAAGTCAACATTCTACCATCATTAGAAAAATTTAAGTTTGATCCACCAAAAAAGTTTTATTTGGAACATTACCATCTTCAACTTTAACATGCCCATGTATAGTAATTATCATGCCATGCATGGGCATAAACAACTTCATGGATAATTCAAATCTCTACATCTCCATCAGCCACCATTTACATTAGGCTTTTAACATTTATCTTGGTCCACCATTGCATCTCTAATACTAATGTTAAAATTACAAAATAAAAACACCTAACCTATGCTCTTGAGGTCCCAACCACCCCCTAACTACCTTAAAATCTTGAAGAATGGTTTCAAGGTCTGCAATCATCAACCATCTGTTATGCTGATTCAGCACGGATATTCGGGGCTTGTTCTAGTTGTGGCCACTGCCGCCCAGCCCTTAACTGTCACTGTTGTCCATCCGGCTCTTAGCAGGAGTAGAGGAGTCTTTCGCAGCCTCTTGAGCACTCCAGCTACCTGCAATGGGAGACGGCAATTTTGATTGCTCCACTTGCGTGCAGCTTCTTGCCATGCAGGTAAAATGCATCTGTGAGAAGCTGGGCCACCTTTGGTCTGGTGCCTAGACAATCAGTGATCTGTAAACTCAAAAGGTAATTTTGGAGAGAAGAAATGAAACTATGAACTGTAGGAATAATGATGAACACGACAAGCAAGACAATTCATATAAGAAGCAGTTCAAATTGTGATCAGATCTCTAGTGATTTCCAATTTGATTGAAGTTGTATATATATACAGCTTCAGTTTATTGGTATAAACTTGGTATCGGAGCTCAGTTTCTGAATTCTTTCTTCTCCTTTCTTTGTGCCTCACATCATGAGCTGCAGCAAAGTTGGATTGATCTTGCTTCAGGGAGTCATTGCCTTTGATGGGAGGAGAGGGTTCAACACCTGGTCTTAGAAAATGATGCACGTGCTGTAGATGGAAGAACTTTGGGAAATCGTTTCACCACCAACAATCGTTGCAGATGCTCATACGTGGCAAGCCCCTGCTGCGTTGGGAG